GTGTAGGTTCATCAAACGGCTGTTTATGGACATGTTCGGAAAGCTGAAACGCTAAGCTGAAACGCTCAACTTTCCACTCCATGTGAGTGAAATTCATGTGGTGTTAGAAAACAGTTGTCTGCTTTGGAGGATCGTGGTGAGATTTTCCGGGAGCGGCGTTCTCATGGTACGCGTTGAGTCTTTTAACCACGTGATGGTCCTACGGAGAACTGAACACTACGTAATAAAGGGTGAGTAAAAAAAAAACGAAACCCAAATGTCGGGACTATTGTTTGATTGAAGTTCTGCATGTAGCACTTTCAAAATCTAGGATATGAAAGCCCAATTCATAAGCTTTCGTTTAGTAGAAGAATCATTCCAATCACTCATGTACTTTTCAAGTTACGGAGTTTTAAACACAACCGCCGTTTTCAGGTTCTGTCCAGGGATCACACATAAAAATCCACTGTTCTTTCAGCAAAACGATAAAATCGCATAAGGATGTGTGTGAATTGTTATCGTTTTGCTGAAAGAATGCACACCTTTTTTGTGAACCGTGGACAGAACTTTAAAACGGTGGTTGTGTTTAAAACTCCGTAACTTAAAAAGTACATGAGTGATGTGAATGATTTTTGTACTAAACGAAAGCTTATGAATTGGGCTTTCATATCCTAGATTTTGAAAGTGCTACTGGTACATTTAGAACTTCAATAAAACAATGGTCCCGACATTTGGGTGTCGGGTTTTTTTTTACTCACGCTGTATGCATGATACACATATACAATTATTTTGCAACCCAGCGGGTGCAAGCCAGCTAGTCTGGTTCCCTGACCTGACAAGTCTCTGACGTCTATAAATTGCTCTGTTTTGTCTGAAATAGGGTCAGGGAACCATAACAGCATTTTTTAATTGGTTTTTGTTGCATCTATAAACACACAATTGTAAACAGTTCAGTGTAACAATATTTGCTATAAAATACTACCCCCCCCCCAAAAAAAATCCATCCATTTCTCAAAATTACAGCAATTTTAAGCAAATGTCGTACATTGTATTACCTTTAACTAGGGTAGAGTTTATCCCTTTTTGGCTATACAGTCTACAGATATACGTGTAAACAATGAGAACAAGTGAGAAGTGGCTAGTTTGAGGAAACAGATTTTGCTGTCAGATCGGATTTTATAAGGAAATCCAACATCCAAACTAACCTACAGAGTGTATTTTCAAGGGACTGTGTCTATTTGTTTTGACAAGTTGTTGTGTGGACAGTCACAATTCCAGGATATTCACATACCACAGTATAAACGGGAAGAGGGAAGAAAATAGTAGACATGCTATTGAAATGGATGCTGCAATCATTGTACTTTGAGTAGACTATTAAATTTGTAGTACAATGTAATACAGTGTAATACAATGTAAAACAGTGTAATAAAATGTAGTACAATTGTATACAAATTTAACTGCACAGAAGTTCCCAGAGAAAATAATACATGGATACTGCAATCATTGTACTTTGAGAATAGACTACATGTATTAACTTTGTAATACAGTGTAATACGGTATAATACAATGTAATACAATGTGATATAATGTAGTACAAATTGTATACAAATTTAACTGCACAGAAGCTCCCAGACAAATCAATGTACATGTATTAATTGCACTGACAATGTATTTGTGCACAGCCTTGCCAAGGTGCCACACAAATGGAAACTGCAATCATTGTACTTTGAGTGAACTGTTAACTTTGTAATACAGTGTAATACAATACACTTTGATACAATGTATTACAAATTTATACAATGTAGTACAATTGACTACAAATTTATACAATGTAGTACAATTGTATACAAATTTAACTGCACAGAAGCTCCCAGACAAATCAATGTATCAATTGCACTGATGGTATTTACAATGTATTTGTGCACAGCCTTGCCAAGATGCTACACAGAAGCCACAAAACACAGCCCACCAAAATTGTTGTCCACACCTAAAGCCCAATTAATAACCCTAATCCAGGGAGGTTCTGTGACTCAAGGGGGATTTCTGAACCCGTTTTTGTTTACCATCTTGTGCAAGAATGTGTACGCTGTACTCTAGTGATTAGGCTGGCCCCTGTGTTATCAATGGTAAGGTATGCAGCACATATTTTTTAATATGTGGAGGTGATAATGAAGTTAGCTGTGACCAAAGTACAGAGCTAGACTGTCCTTGTTTACACAGTTGAACATTGCATGCTTTTGATAGTCATTGTCGTGTGTGTTGGAACATTTTTGTTCAGATGCCAACCATTACTCATGCAACTTGTACTTTTGTAGGCTGACATGTTTGTATGTACATGAATACATGTGTGGAGGGCTCTGGAACCATGTACAGCATGTACATTGTACAGGGTCATTGAAAATAGCACACTTGGGCTTACAGTGACAACATGGTCGGTGACGTATATTTTTTTGTTTCCAATCAGAGGAAAATAATCCAGCTTTCTGGCAACTTGGAATTGACTAGCTTGCATAAATAACTGCTGACATTGTCTTTAAGGATTTAGGAATGTAGATATTGACAGTCGTTTCTATGTCAACATGTTGTTGAGGAAACTGAATACTGGTATTAGGCCAAAAAAAATAAAATATTCGGTCTCTGGTCAGACCAAAGTTCCGGAATTGACGCGGCGACGCGGCTTTTTTTTTTTTTTTTTTTTTCTTCTTTTTTCTTTCTTCAAGCTTATTGTACAGACAAGGTGGGGTACTATTTTGCTTTTTTGGTGTCCTCATGTACATTGGTGTCCTCCATAATTTGCCTTGGTGCTCTCGATCATTTGCCTTGGTGCAATTTCCCATTCCTTGGTGCTCTTTGGTAAAAAAAGATTGAGGAGGTGCGGCAATAGAGGGCGCTGATGGAGCTACCGCGGAACATTTTGGAAAAAAAAAGATTGACGCGCATGATTAAAATCGACGCGCGCGCTGACCAGAGACCGACTTATTTTTTTTTTGGCCTTACCGGTATTGAAAATTCTGACATCAACAGTGCTTATAGCCCACTGTGCACATTTTAAATGCATGGTGCCTGCCGTCTGTAGACGTACATGAACAAGTACATGGGCCACGTAAAATCTTGGTTTTTATTTCCATCTCGTAAGTGAAAAGTGGAACCCCACTTCAGGGAGAATAACAGTGCCAGGTTTTGATGAATGGTGGTAAAGCCAGACCTGGCAGACAATTAAAATATCTTAACCAGGAATAAAAAAAAAAAACTTTTTGAATTCAAGAGATTTTTTTCTTTAGCCAGTTTGGGGAAACGAAGGGGAAAAAATCCTGTGTAATGACCAACAAATAACAATCTAGGGTCTGCCCCTTTTCTATTCATGGTTCACGCTTGAACGAATCCCGACCACGTTCATGAAAGGTGGAAATATCAATCTTATAACCGATGCAGAAAAAAATTCCATTGTGAAGGAAGGAGTTGCAGTGGCGGGTGGTACGGTTTATGGTGTGGTCGCGTTTTTGTTCGATTTGTTTTCTTTTTCAATATTTGAGTACTGGAAATTTCAGACTTGTCTGCTTTTTTTTTAATGCATGGTAACATTTGAAGGGGGGGGGGGGATTAAAGTAGGGAAGTTTACGGAATAATATGGAATAATGGAGTTTTTATGACCATAGAATTTTATTGCTGTGATTTATGCACATTGCATACAGAATCTTAATTTGGGATTATTTTTGTAAGTTAGGCATGAGATTTTTCAGACTTTTGTCTGAAATCAGACTTTTTGAATCTCAGAGAAAGATATCAACTAAAGAAAGAAAGGCAACTCCATTTTCAGACTTTTTAAGACTTGTTTTTTTCAGTCTTGTTAAGTTATTCTCAGTTCTCATGTACATGCCCAGAAAATGAAACATCTGTGCAGATCATACAAAAGATGAAAGAAAAATAAAGGCTTTATTTCCTTCTCTAAGTTATAAATAGTACGTGTGTATTTAATTTTGGGAAGGAGGGAAATTCATTTCCTTTAGCAAGGCACCATAGGTTGAATTGTGGGGTGAAATCACTGAACTTTAAAGTGTACAATGCCCGAGTCATGTACATGTACATATTTGGTTATCATTGCGGTCACCTATTGTTATTTATTGCACAATCCATGGAATGGCCTTATTTGATAGTTTAGATTGTGTAATGTACATGTATGCATTTCTACGTTTCTCATGTTCAATAGACATTCTTCTTTTGTACATGACTCCTAACATGTAACTTCCAACGAGTAAAATACTGGTGGGAGCCAGACATTTTGGAGTGAAGCCACTGTAGTCTGAATAATGAAAGTCATTCCAGTGGACTCTCATGTGAAAACTCGATTAATTTTGTCTTGTCCTTGGTTTCAGACAGACGGGGTGAATTTTTTTGACTGGGATTTTCATTCTTTGAAAATTGTGATTATTATTATTAAAAAAGAGGGTATGCTTGTATGCACATGTACACTGTACAGTAATTGTACATGTGTATGTAAACATTTCACATATTGTAGCCACATTACAATTACATTAATTAAACTAACCCCCTTGAGTGATTTACTAGGAATCTTCCTCACTCTTGCAAAATCCAACACCATATGGTAAACTCTGCACCCAAACTGTTGGACTCTGATTATGGTGGTATGCCTGACCCCATGTACATGTAAAGCATAATCAGTTTACTAGTGCAGTACTCACTCCAACAGATTCCAACGGAACAAGCAGTTGGATTTTGAAGGGTTGGGGTGGTTAGGGTTAACCTTTAACAATCCCCATTCAGTCTAACGCCAACACCAGGGTTTGTTGGAATCTGTTGGATTTGAGTACTGCAGTAGGGGCCTATGCTTTACATGGGGTCACGTCAGGCATACCACCATGACCACCATAATCAGAGTGTTTGGGTGTAGAATTTACCGAACTATGGTTGGAATTAACAGGTTGAGGAAGGTTCTTAGTAAATCACTCAAGGGGGTTGGGGTTAATACAATTTCTCATTTATTTCCTTGTGTTTCATTTCAGATCATGGCAGTGAAATGACAAGAACTCCGCACACACTCGAGGAGGACGGATGTGCACATTTCCACTTGATGTCATCAGATCCGAAGACAAAGATTAAATAAAACTCTCCGGAAGAGATAGGACAGTAAAGTCTTCCGATATCAAGAAAACCTTTTGTTTCTTCAGTGTCCCACTTTTGGAAAACGCAGCACATTCCTTGACGCCAACTCCATGTGAATTGGGTTGTACAAACTGCGTGGAACTTCTGGAACCTCAGAAATGATTGCTCTTGAACAAGTAGCATAAACGAACGCCTGATATCACGACCAGTGGACAGAGCCGTCGTGTGCACCTGACTCGCGCCCATCCATTGACCAATCATGGCAAAGAAGAACGTCGAGCGCACCTTCCGCATCGCGGTAGTGGGCCTCTCGGGTGACGAGAAAATAAAAGGTTTGTAGCTCTCGGATTCATAAGTTTGCCTCTCACGGATGAAATGTTATTCATTTATAATACCCAGGGTATGCCCAAACAGTTCAAAACTGGTTCCATTGGGGCCCTGCATTCAATAAAAAATGACTACAAACATGTATACAAATACAATACATTACAGACACAATACAATACAATACAAGGTGATTTTAGTGGGTGCCAGATTAGATAAATGAATAATAAATTGAATAATTTCAGTGACTAACTTTCCGTAAAATATTGTCTTAAAATTGAGGTATTCATGACGGTGTTAAATTTGTTGTTCGGCACCCCACAGGTTCGGCAGGCGTGGGCAAGTCCTGCCTCTGTAATCGCTTCGTCCGACCCCACGCCGACCACTTCTACAAGGATCACATTTCGATTATCAGTCAGATTGACTTCAGCGGACAGGTCATCAACAACGATCACTTCTTGTACTGGGGAGAGGTGACTAAGGACCTGGAGGATGGCTCACAGGTATGGATTCAACATTTACACATTTCAACGAGTCTTCCACCGCTGTGACCCGGGTTCGAATCCCGCCTGGGCCAATATGTGGATTGGGTTTTCAGTCCCTGCCTGATTCCGTGGGTTTTCCCAAGAATATCATTCTGGGGTTTTCCTCCCACCACTAAAACTGTAATTCCTTCCAAGTCTACTAAGAGACCCCCTGGAAATAAGTCCAAAGACCTGAAGACTTTCGTTGGCTGTCCCGGCCACTTGCCGAATAATCACAAACAAACATCCATTTTCCAGTCAAATCACAACATTTGAAATGAACTATGAAAAGGGCATTGTCTTGTTAGTGCTCACCCCGAATCACTTGCAACTGGACCTGTGTATCAACTTGTGATTTACTAATGACTGGACTTGTGAAAGACATATTGACTTAACTACAATGTAAGGCAATTCAAGCGTTGTGTAATGTCCATGACACAGCTTTTAAGAGCTCAGTGAATGAACCCAAAATGTAGGGTTTTTTTCATCATCTAGTAATGGTCAAAGAGACTACAAACTATGAGTTTTGGACCATTTTGGACCATTTCTCTGAATCATTAATCAGATGTCATGGTTAATTCGGGCGATTCACAATGCAGTGCGCCACCAAGAGTTTGCCAAGGAGAGTTCATTTTTCCCAGTGCATTGTGGGAGAGAGTCGACAAATTCACAGCGCGGGACATTTGAAATTGTTTGTTTTTCCGGTCAGTAGTTTCGTAAGCGTGTGATTCGAGTATCTATTTGCCCTTTTCCTTCTTTGTATCAATATGGTGTTTTTTTGTAAGGCGGCAGAACGATATGCTCCAATCTATAACAAATTAGCTCAAGTTGTCTACCGACACTCATTCGAATGGGCCATGTTGTGTCGACCGTAAACTTGAAAACTGGACTCTCCATGGCAAACTCTTGGTGGCGCACTGCATTGTACATGAATCGCCCGAATTGGCTCTGTCATGGACATCACACGTCCTTTCATAACGCTGAAATTGCCCACCGCTATCTTGACCTGATATCCGTCCTTACTCGCAGGTGACTTGCAGCATCGTTGAGCTGACCGAGTTCATCGATGACCAGTCCTTCCAACCTCTCCGAGGTCACGGGGACAAAGATTACAAGAAGAGGTGTAAGACCACCCTCACCTCGGCCGAGAAACTCATGTACATTTGTAAAGACCAGCTCGGTAAGTTCTCGGATTCTTAAACTCCTTAACATCCAAGACATTTTAAAAAATAAAAAAATTCATGCCAAGCCTTTTTGAGTAGATAGAATGATGACTCGCGGCTGTTTTGACACCAATGCCATTAAAATAGGATATTGTGTTCAAGCAAATTAACACATTTTCGACGCATGTACATTGTACTCATTCATGGTTGAAAGTATGGAATACTGATGGTCATGATTGAGCCAAATCTTTAGATAAAGCATGATAATTATGTCTAGCATACCCAAACATATAAATTAGTCCTCCCCTTTCCACTGTCAGAAGATTAGGAAATATAGAAAGATGAACAAAATATGAAATGTCTGTTTTGCAAGCAGCTGTTAAAAAATGTCTGTGTTTTACAGAACATCACATTTGTGTGGGCATTTATATTTTGTTTTTAACTAAGCATCCTTCCTACTTGAGTACCCCAGCACCCCCAAACCCTACCCCGTCCCCCACCCCACCCTACCCCCCTCCACATACCCACCCCAAGCATACATGCCCTTAAAAAAAGTCTGTGTTTTACAGAACATCACATTTTTTTGTGGGCATTTTTATTTTTTAAAAACTAAACATCCTTCTTCCTTGAGTACCCCAGCACACCCAAACCCCACCCCACCCACCCCCACCCCATCCCACCCCTTCCCCCACCCCACCCCATCCCATCGCACCCCTTCCCCACCCACCATTCCCCACCCACCATTCCCACCCCCATACCCACCCCAAGTATGCATGCCCCTTTAAGATGATAGTGATGAGTTCTCAATGGTCTACATCTTGTCCCTGGAATCTCAAGCTGAACCCCTCGCAGGAGGAAGACATTAATATTAACAGAAATGTGGAAAACATCTGTCTGGCAGATTGGGTCCATTAAACATGATTATGGAAACGGAATGAAGTGTACAGACGACGATGATGAAGTCGGGCATTGCACAATCATTAAGATAATTACTCCGGGGAGATGTGTACATGCAATGATGATACAATGTATTATGGAGCCCTTGTACATATGTGCATGTACACGTATGTACATGGCTTACATTTGTTTATGTACATGATCTGATACACCGTGCCCTCTGGAGACATGCACACAATGTATACGTCTCCACAGGGTAATTTCTATAGATGAATACGTCTCCACAAGGTTTTCACGAAATAGATATATGGATTTTACTCAAAAACTAGGAATTTCCATGGTGGGTTGATCTGTCGCAAATGGAAGAGTTTTAGAAAAGGGATATTAAGTCCAAATTTCAACTAAGGAAATTAATTCTGGTTAAAATAAGAGCATTTTGAAACTGTACTTTCAAACTCAAAAACTTTAGTACACGAGAACAAAGAAATGTCTCCACAAGGTGAAGAATTTCAGTATTGTGGCATACATTTGTTTATGTACATGAACTGTCTGTATAACACTCACCATGTATGATACATGTACATGTATGTACATGTACATGTGGTTCTGTCTTGTATTACGCTCGAGGACAGACCCACAAAAGGATAACAAAAGATCCTTTCAGTCCTCGAACGACGATGCTTTTGTTCGAAACTGTCCTCGATCGTACGTTTACGTGCTTAGTCTATGGGAAAGTGTTAAAGTACAGGGACAAAGGGAAACACAATACATGTAGGTTGTCCTCAGGCGTATAGTAAAACACGACTGTGTGTACATGTACAATTTGCACAATATATACATTATTAGAGGTGTGCATTTACGGGTAGTATGGGAAACGGGTATCTCGAATAAAAAACGTGTACAAAATTAATGAGAGCTGTTGCGTAAAAGTTATAAAGTTATAAGAATATAAACAAAGGAAAAGGGAAGAGGAACAATAGAAAATCCTTGATTTACACCATAAACAAACATAAACAAACATGCTAGTACATACTGTATCTGTGTATAATATTGTACAGAACGCATGTATGCTGAGCACGTGTACTGTAAAAAGACAGCTTTATTCTTTGTCAGACAGTCAAATAAACTTGGCTTTCGTTTTGTTAGATCCTACTATAACAAATGTGCAAGAGCATATTGTGGGCATTGCAGACATCATGTCTCTGTTCAAGTTTCAGTTTCGGTTCTTAAATCAGTTTATTACGTAATTTCATAAACACTGTGTACTGATAATTCATGAGCTTACTTGGATGGGATTCGAACCATGGCCTCCTGCTTATTGCTGCAGTTGTCTTACCACTGGATCATCTCCTGAAGCAAAAACATCCATCATATCAATTTTTTATTCAAAGTTCTATTTTTGATTTGCTTATTTGCATGCTTGTAGGTGATGAAAGAAACTACGAAAGGAAGATTATGCCGGACGGGAAATTCGTGGTTGACGGTTTTATCGTTGTCTTTGACGTCAGCCATGTCCAGAACCGTCCCCCCAACAAGCAGTCATCCTACATCATGGACCTCCTGTCCTCCCCTCTCCACAAGTCCAAGAAGCCTTGTGTCCTGGTCGCGACGAAATGCGAAGAACCCGAGAGCACGGCGCACGAGGAGGTCAAGTCGATCCGAGACAAGAAAAAGATCACTTTAATTGAGACGTCGGCGTTCGAGAACGTCAACGTGGACTTTGCCTTCCTGACCCTAGTCAACCTCATCGACAGGAGCAAGAGGCGACCCATGGAGGTACCCTTTATCACAGGCATCAAGAGGCAGAAGGAGATCCTGGACAAAGTGGAAGACGCCTACATGGCTCTCTTGTCCAGGTCTGTCACCGACTACCACGCCATCTGGAACCGGACCAGGAAAGAGCTCGCCGACGAAGACAACTACCTGACCTACCTCCGATACTTTGGAAAGGAGATAGCCGCTAAGAAGTTCAAGAATCACATCAGGAGGCTGAAGGAAGCTCAGCAGCAGAAGAAGAAGCAGCAGTGCCTGGAGACCCTGCCGCTAGCTCTGAGAGACATGCTTCCGGATCTGGCATCCATCGGCGGAAGGTTAGTCATTATTTACCTTAACCCCCGAGGCATATTTTTCAAACTGGGGAGTGTGGCCTAGTGGATAGGGATCGTTACTCATAGTCAGAGGGACAGGGTTCAATCAAGCTGCTGGTCATGTGCTGTGTCCTTGGGCAAGCCACTTCACCCCCACTTGCCTCTCTCCACCCAGGGGTATAAATGGGTACCGGCATTAGCTTGGGAGTAACCTGCAATGGGCTGGTTTTTCGTATCCCGTCAAATTGGCTCGAGACAGACTCAACATTTTCACTTATTTTTGTCAGGAACCTTCGGAATGCTCCCAAAGCTTTCACAGTGCAGAAAGCCATCTCGGATTTATATACAGACTGTGGGAGCTATGCTTATTTTGTCTGTATGACCTCTGACCTTTTACGCATTGACCTACAGGGACTGGCGAGCGTGTCAGGAGATCATTCTCAAACATCCCAACTTTCACACCTGGTTTGTCCGACTTCCTGACGGCGACTCTTGGAAGATAGGCGAGTACCTAGACAGTGAGACAAAGCAGATTGCCCTGGACTTCCTCAAGACAAACGCCGTGGACTGCGAGAGGTGTTTCAAAGCTCACGATGACAGGCTCAAGGAGGCACTGAAAAGAGAGAGGTAGGAGGAAAACGGGGTCATCTCATGCAGGTTGTGGGTTCAAGTCCAGCCTGGGATTGTGGTGCTTGGCACCTTGGGAAGGACTGGGTCACTTAGGGGGTTTTCGAAATCTTTGCTTCGTCTTCGACTTCGGCTTTGCCTCTAACTTCTGAATCACTGAGAGGCAAACTAAGCAAAAATATTCCAACTTTTCTCTTCACATCAACTGATTGAATGTTCCTGAAGCATAACAGGCACCAAAATGTAGAGTTCCAGAAGTTGGGGGCCTAAAATCTCCTTAAGCCGAAGACGAAGCCGAAGCCAGTCATTTCGAAAACGCTCTTAGTGCTTCCCCCACCCTGGAGTCTATAGACCTTTATCATGCTGCCACCATTTCAGTCATGTTCTCTTTATCCAATAACAGCACTGAATGATAATGTGTTTTGTGCAAAAAGGAACCAGACTATTTTTCCTTCCAGCTTTGCTTTGGTTACGTTGATTTGAATGGGAAAAAAATCAAGATGGCCGCACATGATAATGGTCTATTGGTGGCTAGGTTGACTACTCATTGCTGCTTTGTGATGAAATAGTAGCACAAACAGATAATGTCGCTAAAATATGGATCTTTATTTATATTTCCACAATTTTTGCAAAATGGACTTTCCTTGGCAAAAATATACCCAATTGGTGTTAGTTTGGTCATATCTCCATTTTAAGTTTTGCCGAGAAATGTCTGGTTTTGACAGAACGTATCACATTTGTAAATGTATTCTTTGTCGCCTTCTGTTCTCCTCCAGAATGAAAGTTGATTTCGGCAAGCTCCTTTACGCCCTGAACGACGTCGTCCTCCCTGGACGCCAGTTGGAGGACACGCTCACCCACCTCGTCGACGAAGAGAGTTACAAATACCTCTCCGTGGCCGAGCGCAAAGAGATCTACGATGCGCATCAGTTTGAGATCACAGAGCAAGCCAAGAAAGACTTCGTCGAGTTGTTGCTTGAACTCGTTGAGACGTTTGAGTTCTTTGACATGAATGATGTCAACGCGCACATGGAAGGTATCATCAAACACAGTCTACAGAAAGAAGAAAGGTGAGATTTTGCATGTTTAAAGTTTCAAGTTAACTAAAAACTCGTACATAGCCAGAATTTCACGGTTTTCATAAGTGCGATGCTCTCCAGATGAAGGCTTTACTCTGGATCATATAGTTTGAAGCATATTTTAAATGGGAGTTAAGTTTTAAACTGTCTATACTTTGTACTACGCTTGTTCTGCAGTAATGTAGTTTGTTTAGCTGCAATATTTACATGACAATATCTTTCAATTAGTCATTTTCTATAATTACTTCCTAATCTAGTCCTTACAATGGATTGGTTGTGCTTTCGGTTTGGTTTTAGTTTTGTTTGTGTTGCACAAGTTGAAACTACAAACTGTAGATATACATGCACATGTGTTTAACTATTGTTGACTGCTGTGGTGTGGGATATGACTTTTTTTAACACCCAAGAGGCACATACCTGTAGCTGCCGAGGCAAAGCCGAGGGCGCTATGCACCCCGGGGGTTAAAAAGTCATATCCCACATCACAACAGTTGCCAGTACCCCAAAAAGATAAATGGTTGTAACTTACTGTGTGAGAAATAAATTAAATCACTGCGATGTTGGCCTAACCTCTGATAACTGAAGGTTTTGACGTCCTGCCAGACATGAGACTGAGTGTTGACGTTGCAGTTCTCATTGCGCAAAGCTAGCACGCCCGCAGGTTCCACGCGCGCTACACACGCAATCCGCTCCGTTCACAAGCACCCCCTCACCGGCAATGGAAGTACAGTTGGGGGTGACCGACTGACGCCATCTTGCCCGACTGCAATTTATTTGCCGCGAAGCGCGGCCACTGCGTGTAATTAGAATAAATCCCCTGGTGTACGTGCGTCACACACAAGGAACGGTGCGCGTCAACCAGCGAAATGTCCCGCCCATGGGACGTCGTTGTTAGGTAAAAGGGCGCCCTCTTTCGGTAGCGCACGGAGCTCATAAGCACAGTGCGATATCACCCTCAGTGTGTCACATGCATTTTTATTGTCCAGACACGTGGCTGTCTTAGACCAACGAAATAACAGTATCCAAGCACACGATATAACAATTTACTGTAAAACATATGTTGCTCTCTATTACAGATGTTGGTGATGATCATTATGAATTTTTCACAAAGACTGGAAAGGAAACGTGACTGTTAGGCCCAAAAAAAAAAAGTCTCCGGTTTCTGGTATGGAGCTTGCCCAAAAAGTGGTGCGGCGACGCGGCTTTTTTTTTTTTTTACCTGTTTTTTTTTGCTTCAAATGTCGGCTGAGGACTGCAATTGGTGCCCGACTAAACTTAGTGAAAATATATGGGAGTCCAGAGAGGCCACATAAAGCTTATTCTTGATCATATCCCCATCTAAAAACACGTTAAAATTATGCAGCAGCAGGATTCCAGTCAAACCAGTGAGTTTGGCAGTTTTGAGACATCATCTTTTATTGAAAAAAAAAACTTTTTCATTTTGCCGACGCGCATGGCTACGGCGAGGCGCGCACATACCAGAAACTGGAGACTTATTTTTTTTGGCCTTATATATATTTTTTAAAATCAATTTGAGACTTTGCATGTTGAAACTCAGAGGTGTTTAACTCAATTGTTGTGCTGATTATGCTCTGACCATCATCAGGGACAGGACTCTGAAAGGGGAATCTTGACTGGTTTTGTTTGATTTTGTGGTTTTTGTCCCCTTGCCCAGATACAAGAATCTGGACGGTCTTATTCAGGAGAGGAGGCTACTGCTCATGAAGCATGCTGCGTTCGTGGACAACCCCTGCCGACAGACCTGCCCCTTCCAGCACAGGTGTATGGACGACCTGATCAATCAATTACTGGAGCAACGAGTGACCAGGTATAAGTCACAGATTGTCTTGTGATTGGCTACTGCTTGGCTTGTGATCGTCTTGTGATTGGCTTGTGATCGTCTTGTGATTGGCTTGTGATTGGCTTGTGGTTGGCTTGCAAGTTGCGTGTAATTGGACTTGTGATTATTTGTGATCTGACTTGTGATTTGCTTGTGACCGGCTTGCAGTTTGCTTGAAGTTGGCTTGTGAGTGGTTTGGGGTTGACTTGTATTTGATTTAAGAATTCGACTTGTGATTGCTTGTGACTTGACTTGTGATTCGCTTGTGACTGGCTTGCAATTTGCTTGTAGTTGGCTTGTGAGTGGTTTGGGGTTGACTTGTATTTGATTTAAGAATTTGACTTGTGATTGCTTGTGACTAGACTTGTGATTGCTTGTGACTAGACTTGTGATTTGCTTGTGACTGGCTTGCAGTTTGCTTGAAGTTGGCTTGTGAGTGGTTTGGGGTTGACTTGTTTTTTACTTATAAGATTTGACTTTTGATAGGATTCTGATTGGCTTGTGATTGGCTTGTGATTAGATTGTGGGTGACTTATGATTTGGTTGGGATTGCTTGTGACCAGACTTGGGACATGCTTGTGATTGTCTTCTGACTGACCTCTGATTGGCTTGTGATTGACTTATGAATTGCTTGTGATTGATGTCTGATTAACTTACGTTTTACTTGTAATTGGCCTTTGAGTTTACTGGTGTTTGACTTACGATTGACTTGTGGTTTGACTTAAGATTTTCTTGTGATTTATTTGTGATTGCCTCCTAAGGTATCTTTAGCTGGCCTTGACTTTTGATTGAATCTTACTGAGTTGCAATTGACATGATTAAGACTCTTGTGATTTTTCAATTCGATCTCAGATGCTCAGAAAGGGAGCCGCAGGACCGCTGGTCTGAGCCAAGCACTAAACTCAATCTTGTCATCCTTGGAGAGAATGGCTTGGCCGACGAGTTGGCCAATGAGATCAGGGTGAGTCTGGATAAAGGTGTCGTTGAATTGCAGAACGCAGCTGTGCCGGTGTTTTGTGAATTTAGGACCGTGAAATACTGACTCACTGGTAGTATTGCGCATGTCTACATGAGGAATGTGAACGTTTAACCAATAAAACGGTAAAAGGCACCGGATTTCATAGAAGTCCACATTTCATGCGACACTCGAAAAGTGTTTAACACTAGTCGCCATGTCTTTAAAATCCGCCACGCGATGGGCTCTTGACCAATAGGAATGGGTAAACTGTCTTAGATCTTTATGAATATTGATTTTTTTTAATTCTAGGCACAGTCTGTACAGGAGGAATATACATTGGACAATGTCATCTACTCCTTGGAACTCCGACCCATCGACGGCGATGTCCAGCGACCACAGAACAACCTCTGCACCCCTGACTTCACTCCCCAAGGTAAGAAAACACAACCGACTCCGTTGCTTAGTGGGGAGATGCAAATAAGAATAAAGTGGCTTGCCCAAGGACACATTAACTGGCCAGTAGCTGGACTTTACTCTCATTGTTTCAGAGCTGGCCATTCATGCACTGGTGTTGGTAGCTGAATGCATCAAAGTGCACCAGTTCTTTTCCACCTGATGCACTGTGTTGCGTCTGGCAGGGTTAGGATTAATTCATGACTTTCATGACCTTTAAAATTCTAACCATCGACCTAACTGACTGTCACGTTCCCAGGTTGTATATGCACGTTCAGTTCCCCGGACGATCTCCGTTACGTCACCGAAAGTCTGCGTAAGAGCAACTTCCTGCTGACCTCGGAGACTCAAGACAGCATCTATGCCACCTTGCAGCCAGAGCATCCTGTCATCCTGCTCTTTGCTCGAGACCTGTCCATACCGGAGTCGGACATCGCACAGATGAGACACGACATCAACAAACTAGCTGAGAAGTAAATAATAAAACCCACATTTCTGAGGGAGGGAGCAACAATAAGGGTAATCGTGTAAAGAAGTGAACGAAAAGACACTTCTATGTTTTGGAACTTACCAAAATAGTTACCAACAGGAAAAGTAACTTGATATTTTATAGGTCGCTAAAATACCATGTCTACTTCACTCTACTTACCTGTAGAGCAACACTACTTATGCATATTCCCCCTACCGGCAGGTATTTTCGCTAAGAGTTATATACAATAGCGCCCTCCGGCGCCCTACCCATAACACCCCGCGGCATGCGTGCCTCGTGAGCGTCCTCTTTTCTCTTAGCGGCAGGTCGGGTAGGACGTGCGTGAAATAGCTCGCTGTTTGCCTCGTCATTTACTACCCTTTTTTGCGTTTAAGAGAAGTATTTAATAAAAGATTTAGTATTCATTAGTTTGTAGAGTTTTCATCATCTTCTTGGTTTCGTTTATTTCATAATTATGAAGCGTTTGGGGAGGGCCGATCTGTCACTAACCGGGGGGAATTCCTCTCCCACGGGACGGACCGAGTCCTCGGGGGACTCTGCCGTTAACGCTACGTCGTTACCGCGGCAGCAGTCTCTCGTCCGACACCCTCAGCCACAGTCGGCTGGGGGAGTTGGCAGTTCCGCCGATCAGTTAAGGGGGCCTCGGTCACCTTCTCCGGTCAACTCAGGCGAAACACCCAAACTAAGGGCACACTCCGGCAAGGTTCCTCCAAAACATATCTCCTGTGCCGGAGCAAAGCCTAAGAAGGGCCGTCAGGGCAAGCGTGGCTCGGCAACGAGCGCCGCTGTGGCACCTGGCCCTCCCCCGATCACGGGGCAGCCCGAGGGGGCTAGCCGTCACACTTCGGTGGGCGCTAGTCACCCGTGTCCTCCCGACACAGTGCCGAACACCACTGGTTGTCGGGATGGGCTATTGCGCGGGCTACCGGCCCGTTCAGTGCTCGCTCAGCCCACGGGGCCTGAGGCGCTGTCGGCCAGGTGCATTATGAGCGATACGGAGCCGATCGCGGGGGATCCCGGGCCGACGGCCCCCGTGCCATCTCGCTCAGAGGGACTACCCTCATCATCGGAATTTTTCCGTTGTTCGGGGGTCCCGGTGTCCCAGGTGTCTTCCGATTTTTCTTCGGACACACCTCGGGGCCGTTCTTCTAAGAAGAAGAAGAGTAAGAAGAAGGCTACACGTCGATCACGCCGTTCTTCTTCGGAGTCGGACGACTCCTCTGACCGGTCCCGCCGGGGCAAACGCTCCCGGGGGGAGGACGCGGTTTCCAGAGCAGATTTCCTGCAGGCTTTCCAGTCGATTTCTGATACGCTATCGGCTATGTCTGCAGGCCGCCGGGCGGGCCCCATTGGGGGGCCCCCTGCAGCGGTGGACTACGGCCCACAGCCATCGGTTGTTGGGCCCGCATCGCAGTCTGCAGTCACCGGTCACGCTTGGGTGGCCCGGGAACAAAGGGACATACCGCACACAATTAGTCGTGCTCCCGTGTCCCCGCCTGCGGTGAGAACTTCACAATCGTCGTTCGTTGGCCACGGTTGGGTGGCCCAGGCACAACGGGATATACCACACGTGGTTGACCGTACACCGGAGGCCCGGCCTGCAGCGAGTGTCTCGCATGCATCGGCCGTGAGCCACGGTTGGGTGGATCAGAGGCCGCGGGATCTACCGCGTACGCTGGGATCCCCGCCTGTATTGAGCATTCATCCATCCATGCAGTATGGCTCTGAGGAAGTTGTCCAGCCGCTAGCGCGTGGCTCGGTACAACTCGCCCCTCCAGACGACGTTCGTTCACCGGAGTCAACTCGGCCCTCACAATCGGCTGAGTCATCCGATGACGACGAGGAACCAGACCGATTACAACGGCTGTCTATCTCTGAAACGGAGCTCCGTTTAGTACAGAGGGATATGATACGAGTACTTCATCTACCCTCCGCTGATGAGCCCCCTCCGCCCGATCATAAATCTTTCAAGCGAAGGACGGGCTCCACATCTAGCAGTGATAAAATATTCCCCATACTTCCTTTAGATCAAGTATGCGTGGAACATATCAACAACATCATGTCAACGGATAGATGGCGTCCGTTTCTCAGACGGAACGAGATTATTTTCGTTTCCCAGCTGAAGATTTTGCGAAGTTTTTCACTCCGCCTACTCTCCCCGATGCAGCAAAAGATAAACTTGCGGCCGATGAGAGTGGTTCGTCTTCCAAGCGACCCTTTGCGGACAAATCACGTTGTAAACTTGAAGACGTTTTGAAGAAGATAGACACAGCTTCACGTTTTGGCTCGCGGTCAACGTCTTTCTTACTTCTTCTTACTGAATATTTAGCCGTGGGCTATGAAGAGGACTCGCCGATTCCAGCGGATATGCTGACTGCGGCCCTTCATTGCCTAGACCATGGTCTACGCTCAGTGCTTGATCAATTCGCACGAGTGTCGGCCCTATCAACGTCCACCCGCCGGGGTAACGTGCTCGATGCACTGTTCCTCCCGTCGCAGGGTGCTCGAAAAAGACTTGAAGATCTCCCCCTGACGGGCACGGATCTTTTTGACGGGAAATTCGAAGATCAGATGCGAGATGAGGCCAAACGTCTGAAGGCTACGGAGAAAATCAACTTCAAGAAGCCTCCAGCACCGGCGTCCAAACAACAGCGTGGTAAGGGCAAAACATTTGTCATTCCCCGCCGCAAACCTCTGAAATCTGGTCGCGGTGGTTTTCGTGGCCGCACGGACAATTCTTCCGGTGCGCGCGCCACGCAGGCCCGCACGTTCTCTGGACAACAACGGCCCCAATCCGGTCGTGGTTTCCGGGCACCGGCCCCCCGCTATCCCGGGGGCTGGCGCAAGTGACTTAGTAGACTCGTGGCGGCCTCCCGCCGTCGGACCCGTGGGAGGCCGTCTCTGAGACTTTGCGGGGTCCTGGGGTTTAATTACGTCCGACCGGTGGGTGCTCGACACGATCGGGTGCGGCTACGCACTCGAGTTCTCGAGCGCCCCCCCCGTCGGACATGGTCGTTCGACCGACGGTAGTTCCGTCCGATCCTACCAAACGTCTCTCCCTCGAAGGGGAGATCAGTTCCCTCCTCGGGAAACGGGCAATTCGCCCGCTCCCTCCGGGGGAGACGCGGTCGGGCTTCATGTCGACCTTCTTTCTGGTACCCAAGAAGGAGGCCGGCATGTGGCGCCCGATTTTAAATCTAAAACCCCTCAACAAATTTATTCGGCCAAGACGTTTTCGCATGGATACGCTCAACATCATACTCCAATCGATTCGTACACCTGCATGGGGAGCCAGTCTCGATCTGAAAGATGCGTATCTACACATTCCTGTCAGACCAGACCACTGGAAGTTTCTTCGTTTTCAGTACGAGAACGTCCAGTACGAGTTCATGGTTCTTCCGTTTGGTCTAGCCACCTCACCCCGAGTCTTCACGCGTGTGGTGAAGACAATCGGGGCCGCATTAAGAAAACAAGGTGTGATGATCTTCATGTATCTGGACGATTGGATCATTCTTGCTCAATCTCAGACGGCCGCGTCGGCGGCACTCAATCTGACTTGGCATCTAGCGGCGGATCTCAGGTTTATTATCAACGCCGAGAAATCCCATCCACATCCATCCCAATTCCCAATCTTTCTGGGAGCGTCACTCGATCTCCAGAGGGGATTGGTTCGGCCTACGGAGGAACGAATTGTAAATCTCCAACAGTGTGTGTCTCTGTTTCTCCCGACGACCATGGCCCCAGCGCAAGCCTGGCTAAGGTTGCTCGGTCTTATGGCCAGTATGGTAGATGTGGTGAACTTTTGCAGACTAAGGATGCGTCCCATCCAATTACATCTGCTGTCCTTCTATCGGCCCAGTCGTCATCACATACGTCATCTGGTGCCGACCACACCTTGGCTAATACCGCACCTCCGTTGGTGGCTCGACAATGCCAATCTCACGGAGGGGCGCGCTTTTCACAATCCCAGGCCGTCAGTGACCATCACGACAGACGCGTCACTTTTTGGCTTGGGGGCCACCCTCCACCCGCGCCAAGTAGCGGGTCGGTGGGGGCCCAAAGAGTGCTCGAAGCACATAAATGTGCTGGAGATGTTGGCAGTCATCAATGCTCTCCAACGTTTTCAAGCATCAGTGACAAACCAGGTAGTCAACATTCGTTGCGACAATGCCACAGTAGTGGCCTACATCAATCGACAGGGAGGCACGCGATCCGCCCAACTATGCGCGCTCACGTGGAATCTCTTCCACTGGTGTATGGACCACGGAGTAACACTCGTGGCAACTCATCTCCCAGGCGAGGAGAACGTCACAGCCGACGCTCTCTCCAGGGGGTGGGTCGTTCCGACGGAATGGACACTGCGTCCGCAGGTTGTCCAATAACTTTTTCTGTTGATCGATCGGCCTCATGTCGACCTGTTTGCCTCTCGAAACAACCACCAGTTACCGGTATACTGCGCAAGACACAACGACCCTTGCGCATGGCAGACAGACGCACTGGCAATACGGTGGGACAGACTACTTGCGTACGCCTTTCCCCCGTTCTCCCTCATACCGCGAGTACTGACCAAAGTGGAACAGGAGGAGTGCAAGATCCTCCTCATAGCTCCATTTTGGCCACGCCAACCTTGGTTCCCGAGACTCATCAAGCTCTTGGTTCACCGCCCGGTGATTCTTCCGAAGAGGGCAGACATACTGTTCCAGCCCAGCTCGGGTTTTCTTCACCCGGCCCCGGAGGATCTCCACCTGACGTGCTGGGTATTATCAAGCAATCCTTCCGCACGGCGGGCCTTTCTGAACGAGCTGCGGCCATTGCAGCCTGCAGCCGGCGGGAGTCTACCAGGAAAATTTATAACAGTAGATTACACCATTTTTACAAATGGTGTAGAGCCAGGTCTCTGCGTCCCTCCGATACTTCTATAGGAGAGATTGCAGACTTCCTAGTAGGCCTCTTTGACAGTGATCTTGCTACAGCCACAGTTAAGAATTATCGTTCGGCTATAGCGGCTATTCATGGAGGTTTCTCTGACGGTTCCTCGGTGTCAGATAATCAGAATCTTAGCCAACTTATCAAGGGGATGTTTGTGTCACGCCCCCCGACACGTAGGCTATTACCATCGTGGGATCTCTTTGCTGTCTTATCAGCCTTATCGATACCCCCGTTTGAACCAATGGGCAGCTCAACCTTGTTGCAGCTGTCGGTTAAAGTGTCATTTCTATTAGCAGTGGCTACGTCTAGAAGACGTAGCGAGCTGCATTCGCTTACGGTGGAGACAGGTCATATCCGGTGGGAACCCGGGGGTGTTCGCCTGGTTCCTAAAACAGGTTTTCTGACCAAAAATCAGTCAGAATCATTTTCACCTCCTGACATTTTTGTGCCGGACATCAAATCCTTTTCGTCTGTCTCTGGTGACAGACTTTGGTGTCCGGTCAGAGCCCTGAAGCGGTACGTTGATAGAACTAAAACGCTCCGAAGTGGCCATTCACAGCTGTTTATAACAACGACTCCACCATACCGACCGGCCTCGCGTGATACAATTTCCCGCTGGTTGGTTACGGCCATCAAATCAGCAATAGACTCACCAACAACAGATTCCGTTGGGTCAGTCCATGCACATGAGGTCAGGGCAGCTTCTACTTCCTGGGCCTTTTTTAAGGGTGTTTCTATTAAAGATATCACACAGGCAGCGTGTTGGAAAACCCCCAACACCTTTACAGAGTGCTATTTGAAGGATGTCCTCCAGACGGAAGGCAGAGCCGGGAGAGTGGTGCTGAAGGCGGCGAGCCGAGCATCATCAGGTCCACAGGATCCTCTCCTACCCGGGGCTTCCCTAGAATAGGTGAGTCTCCTCATCCTGGCTATTTACATTATACATTACATTGTATTGAATATAAATGTATAGCTAAACACTCTTGTAATAAGGTCATTGGTCTTGGACAAGTTACCTTCTTTTTATACAGTTTACCTTGTGCATGGGCTTGGTTTGAAGTGTTTTAGAACTTGCTTTAAGAAGTGTCGTGTACTAACAGTACTCTTCTTTGCAGGATTCAGCTGTATTATATATTATATTTATTATTATATAATACTTTACATTATGAGACGTTCCCCCTAACGAGGGCTGACGTCTCGATTAACATGTGAGGGTAATTAATATCCTTTACATGTACAGTTCTTGGTTTTTTCCCCTGTCCGCCTTTGGACGGAACAGTGGGAGCCATCTGGGGTTACATTCCATGTTTCATGCCCCTGTGAGTAAGCAATAGCATCTCGCATGGCCCACCTCCTTGACGGTGCTAGTCTATGCATAAGTAGTGTTGCTCTACAGGTAAGTAGAGTGAAGTAGACTCCCCCCCCACAGAAGTGTGGTTGGGGTCTACGAACGAATACTTACCTGTAGAGCATCCCTCCCTCCTACCCCACTCTTCTCGATGCCTTGGGTACTTTGTTGTATTCCGACTTAGCGCTCGAGAAAAGAGGACGCTCACGAGGCACGCATGCCGCGGGGTGTTATGGGTAGGGCGCCGGAGGGCGCTATTGTATATAACTCTTAGCGAAAATACCTGCCGGTAGGGGGAATATGCATAAGTAGTGTTGCTCTACAGGTAAGTATTCGTTCGTAGACCCCAACCACACTTCTGTGGGGGGGGGAATTTAATAGCAGGCTGAATTTTGCGCGAGAAGTGCAGGGTTTTTATTTATGAGGAAAATTATGGGGTAAAATGGTCATCATTTTGTGCCTGAACTGCTGTGACTTGCACATCTCTAAATGTGCTAAAACAGGTAAGAAAGTCGTATTTTCTTCCAGAGTAGGGTTACAACAAACATAAAAACCTGGAGTTCATCTCAATAAAAAAGATTGCTTGGGGCTACAAAAATCATTTTGGAAAATTTGACAGTCATTTACAAAACGGAACAAGTTCATTTTGAACGGAACAATTAAATACATGGGGTGTGCCAAAATACACGATTACCACAACTATATTTATAAATAGTCATTGAGAAGATAATGTGGACTCACGGAAATTAAAACCATGTGTGGCCAACCAATCAGAAGTCACTCTAGTGACCTTATGAGTTACAGGCACTTACAAAAAATATTTACGATTCACTTGCTTTTACATTTTCATTTATTCTTTACATATTTTTGTCACTCAGGTTGTTCGACTGCACCATCATTGACATACCCACCGACGAGGCGATTCTGTGGCACGGCAAGAAGTTCCATGAGACTCAGATCCACTTCTCCATCAAAGCCATCGTAGAGAGCAATCGACGCTCGGGCCACGACCGCGACGACGAATCGCACGACGGCAGCCAGTGTGACCCGAACCTCAGGTTAGAGCCTTCCCTGTACGATACTATTGTCGGGTCCAACAACAAGGTTCACTCGTTTCTGAGCAGCGGCAATGGGACTAGCACTCCCTCCAGCCGCGGCTCAGACGACGTGACGTCAGGCCCGTCCGCGGGCAGCGGCCCGCCGACCCCGGCGGCTAAAGCAAAGCGAGATTTAACCCAGTCCCAGTCTCAGTTTAAATCCAACAGTCCGGCACTCAAGCGAAAGAACCCTCCAGTCAAAACGCCCAGCGTGGGTGAAGGGTCGGGCTGGGAGGATATGATTAGCGACGATGAGGATAATGACGAACCGGTCATGAGGTACAGTCTTCAAGTTTGTTTCTATGCATTTTCTCTCATTGTCCTCTGCTTGTCTAATACGAAACGTCTTCATAACGAAGAGCAGTGATTGGTTAATCTGGTCTAGATGCTGCTATAAGCTGTGGCGTAGTTTCTTAACGTGAGGTGGTGGTGGGTAACTAATATTTATTTTCTGACTTTTCCTTGGAATTCCTGCTTCAGTTAATGAGATTTTAAAAAAATCAAGACTGTTCGGCTTTTTAATGATTCATTGTGTGAAAATAGATATCAGTGTAAAAAAAAAAATCCCAAAAAATTTGCTGAATTTCTTGTATTATACTTACTTGTTCTTTTTCTTGATAATCCTCTCTGTTGCCATATCTGTTGTATCTTGGTCCTAATACGACAATTTATAAACTCAAGAATTCTTTAAACCCTGCTTTCCATGCTCAACATGTTTTTCAGTTTTTCCAAGTTTGGAGTTGTGATTGACACTACATTGTACTTTAGGCCAAAAAAAAAAAGTCTCCGGTTTCTGGTATGCGCGCGCGTCGCCGTAGCCATGCGCGTCGGCAAAATGAAAAAGTTTGTCATTTCTCAAAACCGCCAAACTCACTGGTTTGACTGGAATCCTGCTGCTGCACAATTTTAACGTGTTTTTAGATTGGGTTATGGTCGAGAATAAGCTTTATGTGGCCTCTCTGGACTCCCATATATTTGTACTAAGTTTAGTCGGGCACCATTTGCAGTCATCAGCCGACATTTGAAGCAAAAAAATCAGGTTAAAAAAAAAAAAGCCGCGTCGCCGCACCACTTTTTGGGCAAGCTCCATACCAGAAACCGGAGACTTTTTTTTTTTGGCCTTACCTTCCATGTATACAGCGAGCTCTAATGAGCGATCTTCAAGGTTGAGCTTCACTCTGTATTAACCCCCGAGCCAAGGTTGTCAGCAGTGTTGGAATCTCTTCCCAGAGTTGTGCTTACTTGTCCAAAAAATGGGATTTCTAAAAGCTCTGCGTTTCTTGTTCTACCCAACAGGTTTTGGTGGCAGAAATTCTGTGATTTTGACCCTAACTCCCTGGCGTATTTTACCAGGAACTGGACCAAGTCCATCAAAATCCATCAATTACTTTGCTTGCAATACAAAACTGTACATGACAGAATGAAATTCACCACTAATGCACTGGTTGACATTCATGGACTTGCTACACGGGGCTTTTATCACAATAGCAGTACAGGAAGCTAGGCAAAATCAGGCCATTAGGCCCAAGTCCATCATACTCCATCAATATTTAGTCACGCCAGGCCTTCTGGACCAAGTCCCCCAAAATCCACCAAAATGGGAGGATGGATTTTGATGGAGTTGGGGTGGTTAGGGTTAATCAGCCTTCACACTCACAATAGTCCTGCATTTCCCCGTTTGCCATTTAACCCTTTCCTTACGGCATTGTTTTCTTGGCTTGGCTCTCGCCAGAACCAAATTGTTTGCTCAGTCATGCGGAAATCACTAGAGCGTGAAACAAGTTGAACACCCTTCTGTTTTTTAACCCAGATTTTCACTGCCAGGGAGTGATTAAAATCAAAGTTGCTGTGTAAAGTTTGTTCCTTGAACTTTACTCATTTATGTGATGTAAAAATCAAGGCCATTTGTGCACAAATAAGAAAGTCATGCCTGTTTGCCGAATGCTGATCTGGTCCCAGTTATCAAACTGCAAGCCATTTTACCAAATGACCAAATGGCACTCCATACCTCAAATTGTGCTTGGATACTTTTGAAGCACTGTTCTAAAATTTTTGTAATGGTAAAATCACTATTAGAACGTTCTGAAAACACTCCTTCAGCTGGTATATGGTTATGAATGGGAGGTCAAACATGCCAACATGCCAGCTTGCTGAAAAGCAGTCAATAAATCTGTAAGATTTGAGGCTTTGCATGGTGGAGATACTAAATAATGAAAGGTTTGCGGAAACACCATGTGCGAATAATTTCTCAACTAAGAGAATGGTTCTGAAAAGAACCAGAGGTATAAACTCAACGTTCCGGTCAGTATGCTCTCCTGAAGACGGTCAGAGCATACTGACCGGAACGTCGAGTTATACCTCTGGTTCTTTTCAGAACCATTCTCTTAGTTGAGAAATTATTCGCACATGGTATTTCCGCATTAAATAAATCTGTGTTGAGGGTGTTTCTGTGTGTGGTTCCCTGGTCGACTAAAGTCACCCATTGTAAGGAAAGGGTTAAAATCCCCCTCTTTAGGACAGAAGCTTAGCCATTTCAACTAATGTACGCTAATACAATCGCATTGTTTCTTTACATAAATTTGACATGTGAATTGAAACAAAAACGTTTGCTGCCATAAAGTAGATTGTGTTCTGTTTAAAATGTACAATTTTCGCCAATTTGTGTTCAAACAAACGAACACGATTTGCCAAATCAGTTTTAATTAAATCACAGGTCAGACACACGTCATCCAGTCTTGACTAAATTGACAAGGTGTTCAAATGCCTGTGACAAACACAAAGGCTTCCGTTTGTTGGTATCATCCCACGTCACTTGTGACCTTTTGATTCTGCTTGTGGTTTGTGATTGATTTATGACTGACCCTTGAAAGACTTTTGAGTTGATTCTTGATTGACTTGTGACTGACCTGTGGTTCGGCTCGTAAAAGACTTGCGATTGACTCGTGATGGGCATGGGTACAACTGCTACGCCTCCCCTAGCCTGACATTCACTCTTTCTAATTTGACGTTCCTTTCCCCTTAAGCATTGGCATGGCCATGATGTGCGGCGATCCCAACCTCCCTGAGCTTGTCTTGGGCCCCATCGTCAGTAACGACACCTGCTGCCGTGACTTGGCTCTCAAGCAGACCGTCAACGTGGACATGTTCCTGAACACGGTCAAGCGTCGAGTCAGCATTGAGATCACCTCCTTCCATCAGGCCAAGCTGTACACTGAGGACATCCATCATGGATACATTCTGGTCTACTCTGCCAAGCGTAGAGCTTCTTTTGAGACATTGAAGTAAGTTCATAGCCTTTCTTTGAAATGTTGAAGTAAGTTGATGGCCTTCCTCTGAAAGGAACTGACTTGATGGCCTTCCTTTGGTATTTTCAAGTTAGTGATGGCTTTCCTTTGAAAGTTGCAGTGAGTTGATTGCCTTCCTTTGAAATGTTGAAGTGAGTTGATTGCCTTCGTTTGAAATGTTGAAGTCTGTTGATGGCCTTTCCATTGAAATGCTAATGTAAGTGGACAGCCTTCCTTTGAAACATTGAAGTTAGTTGATGGCCTTCGTTTCCAACATTGAAGTAAGTTGATGGCTTTTCAGCTCAAGTGCCCGGAACATGGACCCTGTTCTAACTGCAGAGTAATTTTTAATTCCAATTCCAATTTCTTCCTCGCTCAGATTCTTCGTGCAGTCTGTTACCCCGATCCCAATTGAGATCGTTGCGGTGTCGGACAGCGAGAAATTCTCCTCAGATTACGAGATGCAGGCATTGATAACTGAGGGGAACAAGCTGGCTGATGAGACCAAGAACTGCACCTTCATCACGGCAGGTGCCAACTTTGGCAACCAGTGTAAGTAACAAATGAGACTTGGTCCAACGTCATGGAGCTACTAACAATTCTGCTAAGAATGGAAAATATTTACGTAGCGTATACATTTCCAGCTAAATATTGACGGCATTCCTGTAGCTGGTAACTGGTTCCCAGTCGATTTTGCTCAGAACATAAATCTGTCGTCAATGGTTTACCTCTGAATGTCTTTGTTTTACAGCGTTGGCGTACTCCACATTTTTCACCGATGCGTATGAAAAGATGGCCGAAACAGAGACTATCCACGAGGGTATTTTTGGCCCGTTGTACGATGAAGACAGTTATGAAGATGAGCGGCAAGGTCTCAGGACGCCCGTTGAAACACCACAATCTGGGTAGGTCTGGGTACACGCAGTACAGCCCATGAACTGGGTACATTTAGATAGATCGGGTACCTATCCTGTGTGGGATGGGATAGACTTCTCAATCACAGTGATAGCTATGAGAATGAGCAGTAACCTCCTAGGACGCCCGTTGAACCACCACAATCTGGGTAGGTCTGGGTACACGCAGTACAGCCCATGAACTGGGTACATTTTGATAGATTGGGTACCTATGCTGTGTGGGACAGACTCATCATTCACTTGATTCCACAAACTGGAAATTTTTGCATATTTTGACAATGATAGCTATGAGAATGAGCAGCAAGCTCCTAGGACGCCCATTGAACCTCCACAATTTGGGTTGGTCAGGGTACATACCGTCATGAACTGGGTACTCGTGGGTACCACTGGATAACCCCTTTTGTGTGGCATGGGTTTATCACTCTGTCGATCCCACAAGCTGGGTACCTTTAGGTATGTGTGGGCAATAATGGTTATGAAAAGCAGCTCTCCGGATGCCCATTAAGTAGATAGAGGAATGAAATAGGTAAGACTGGAGATTTCAAATTTCAATTTTCTCAACATTCCAGCACGTCCAGTGTACTAAATCTTACTCAAATATAACTCGCTGCTTGCCACTCCCAAAAAATTGAAAGTTTCTGAGTTTTTTATTTGGAAAAGTAATGCTCATTTTTTTTGGTCTGTGTTGCAGCTTTGGAGACCCAACATATGCCAAACCTCAAATTGTCAAAGGAGTTGTATATCCATACCCACCAGGTAAGAGCAGCTAAGGTCAATTTTCCTGACTCCGTTTTAATCTGTACTTGACAAACACCTTGCACTTGCTCGTTAACACTACACAATGCGACATCTTAATGGGCAGAGACACTCGATCTTTTACCATCTACTAAAATGAGGTGCTGTGTTCCAGAAGAACCTTTCTGACAATGTTACAGTCGGCAGTTGTGAGGTGTTCAGGTAAAATGAGACAGAACTGGGCACAGATTTTTAGATTTATTGATATTTGTACTCTTTGAAATGTCTACTACACATATTTCAAAGATACAGTATAAAAAAAGACGTGGAATTAAAGTGTTTTAAGGAAAAACAATTGGCATCTTTCATTTTCACGCCTACCGAACTCAAAACTTTAAAGGCCTTTTTCTCAGTTATTTCCTTTTTGACATGCCGATAAATACGAACTTTAAACAGCCATAAATTGTCAATGGAACGTCCGATCGAAGTGCAACAAACAGTATTGTAAGGAGAATTTTATTCTCTTTCCTAATACCTGCAAAGCCTAATTTCGACCTCAGCCCAGTTCTGTCTCATTTTGTTAGAACCCCTCACATTTGTCATTCGTACATCAACAGATGATGTCAAAAACTTCACGGCTTTGTTAACACAGAACATTGCTAAAACAGTCATTGTAAGAATGTATTAAATCCCTCTCTAAAAGGTGATCATTTGCCACAAGAAATTTGTCTTTAAATGTCAGGAATGGAATCTCAGGGGACTTGTATTTGCTACTATAAGGAGTCGAATCCTCACCAAACTTTGATACCAAATTCAAGATCGATTCTATTCAGTTCCTATATGTGGCTGCCCAAGCCTATTTCAAGTCCCTTAACCTACTTGATTTTAATTTGTTAACCTTGTTTCTTTCCTCTTCTCCCGTTACTACCCCTGCACCTCTGGTTTTTTTCCATCTTGCACTCTTCCTGTTTGTCTCCTACCTCTACTTACCATGATTACTATTAATACACTAACCACACACATCCATGCTTTCGCCATAACTTTATGTAACAAATCATGGTGTACCTGTCTCTGTTTGCAATGTCATTGAACTACTTTTGTTCGTATGTCCTTTTATCCCTTCATTTTCTTTCTGTTTTTGATTCACATTATGTCAATATCATCTACACTTCCGAATTGACTTTTATTTTGGATGCTTTTCAAAATATTCTCGGTACACTGTATGCATCTAATACTGGCACCTAATTGATCTTTTTTTTAAATTTTGTATCTTAAAATTTTGCCCACACTCGATATGATATTTAAAATGTATATCTTTAATCTGAATATTAATAATCGTACAATATAATTTAAATGTTTCATTGCATAACGATGGTGTGTCTTTTCTAATGCTTTGGACATACTTGGATTGGTATAAAAATGTGTTCCACTGTCACGGCTCATTCGCACCTCTTCTCTTTTTAAAAAAAATCAAATCCCACTTCTGCACCACATTGGGGTCAATTTCCAATTTGCCACATCGTTCGGATCAAATCCCACTTCTGCCACCATTTATGGAATCAAATCTCACACATCTGACGCCATTTTTGACCAAATAAATGTCTTGACTATATTTGGCCCAAATCGTCTCAATCATTTTTGGATCAAATCTTGCATTTCGTCCATGTTTGGATTCAATCCCACTTCTGCCACCACATTTGAATCACATCCCACTTCTGCCACCATTTTTGGAACAAATCTGACTTGCCCCACTGGTTCATGGACCGCGCCCATCCCCCACGCAATGCATGCTGTAACTCCTCATTCACTACCACCACGACACGCACACTTCCAGCACAAACTGTAGTGTCTGGTCGAGCGAGGGCGCTATCCGCCGGGGAAGTCCCATCAACGGTGGCACCTCCTCCTCCATCCAGAGTGTATGATCACCTTGTAAGACCGAGTGACATTAAAAATCAGCAAAAATTGTTACGGAATCAAGGTACACACCACTAGTTGTGTTTTGTATCCTTACCCCCTTTTTTTTCAATTTAATACCTACACGTAGCATGGATTTTAGGTTTGGCATTAAGGTTGCATTTCTTAGTGGCCAATGAATGACATGTTAAAACTAACTTCCCCCTTCTACTTTAATAGTTTTCATTTAATTCTTACAACTCTAACCTTTAAAAAAGTTACATGTACAAACTTTCAATTTTAATCCCAGTGCACACATAGAAATGTATGTACTCTACACAGGTGAAAGTGCATGTACATGTCTGTCTACATTTTGTGCACACATAACTTCACAGTCAAGATACAACGGCACTCGGTTCATTTGGAAAAATATTAACAACGGTCTAGTTTTGGTACCAAATTGTTTACAAGAGCTTAATCTGGTAAAATGATAGGATTGGCACCACTTCATGATTATTCTGGATGACGTGTAGCAGTGAAGAAGAAAAGTTTTTTTTGTCAAAAGACACAAACCATGACCAAAAAAGAAATGTTTGCAGATCTTCATTGTTTTCCTGAAAAGTACCTCAACAGATAGGTGATAAAATATTGTGCACAAGATTTTGGGTGTATCCATTGAAAGTATGAACAATAATTGTGTTTGCCTTAAAGTCAGGTGATTAAAGGGAAAATACAACATTTGCAAACATCGAAAAATAAAATGACCAAGTTTTTACGAAATACCTTACAGGATGTTGGTAAATGACAGTCTAAAGCATCCTGTAACATTATGGCACCTGGTGTCAAGTCATTATCAAGAAAATGGTATTTTTGTATTCATTTCCAACGGTGGTCGGCCGGCCACCATTGGAAAAACCTAACTATTTTTCAACTACTGCTCCAAATTTGCAATTTTTTTCAGTCCAAATTTTGTTGGCTATTGGTTACATGTTCACGAACGGGTGCAGGTCAGCTAGACTGGTTCCCTTACCTTCCAATTTTCCGACATCTATAAATTGATCCATTTTATGGGAGTCAGGGAACCAGACTACTTAAACATTTTTGTTTTTCTTGGTTTTTCAAGCATTTTCGAACACAAAACTTCAAACATGTCTGTTAAACAATATTTGATCTATTATACTAACCCCTCAAATAGTTCATTTCTGAAAATTACAGCAAAAGCCAATGATGTACATTCCCTTAAACACTGAAAAGGCAACTTGTGATGTGTAACAGATATAATTGAAAACGGTATTCTTGTCCGATTGTCGTTTTTCTAAAACAGACAAACGAAGTGACGATGTCGTCTACGACCAACCTGAGAGATTCGCAACAAGTCCTAGGAGATTCCCCAACAACAAGAACGAAGGTAAACGACTGATATTATTTTTTCCTCAGATTCTCGGCTTTGACATATGTCTTTAACCCATCCTTTCTGAGTGTAGTTTTTCACCAGCTGGTATCCAGTAGTTCATGACGGTATGTACTCTGATAGGAGGACATTGGAGAACAACAGAATGAAATACTGTCCGCTCCCAATCGAGAGCAAGAAAATAAATTCACTTTAATATATTTTGCTATTAATCCAGCACATCCTCTGTAGGTAAAATTAACGGATGACCTGTTTGCCAGTCCTAGCCTTTTAGCCTTTGCACTGCCTAAAATCGCCCTGCTTGTTACTCCTCATAACGCCCAGAACCGGAGCACTCTATATGGTTTTATTAATTCGTGGAGGAGTAAATCTAATGTAATACAATTGAATACAAGTGCTTAAGGGTTAAGACCGGTTCATACGTCATAAATGTGAAGAAGAGAAATGATGTCTGGTAAGATTCACAGCCAAATCTGCCAGAGTTTAATGAGGCTAACCCAAGTGAATTCAAAGTGCAAAAAACTTGAAGAGAAGTCGTAAATTTGTGTCCAATATACGTTCCTGCTGAGTACAAAGCACCGTCACCAAGCGTCAGAACACTGTCTGATATTCCTCCGAATTTATCCCAAGATCCCGCGTATGGTGAGGTCAAAAAGCCAAAGCCGGATACCCTGCCTAGATCAGACAAGCAGCCCAGCTCTCCGAAAGATCCTGGCAAAGGTAGAGACATTGATTCGCTGCGTCTGCCAATTTCTGCACAACTGACAACCCTGTTGTCTACATAAACCTCCAGTTTAATAAGGCTTGCTTTGATATGGATGTATTGGACGGTACATCCTCTGTAGGTGCAATTAACGGGAGACCTGTTTGCTAGTCCCAAACCTTTAGCCTTTGTACGGCCCAAACTGCCGTGCCTGTTACTCCACGTAACACCCAAAACCGTAGCACTCTACAATATGGTTTTATTAATTAGTTGAGGAGTAAAACTAATATAATACAATTGAATACGAGTGCTAAAGGATTAAGATTGGTTCATACATCCTAAATGCGAAAAGAAGAGAACATGGTGTCAGGAAACAATCGCAGCCAAAAATGCCTGAGTTGAATGAGGCCAACCTGTTTAAATTCAAAGTGCACAAAACTTGACAAGAAGTCATAAATTTGTGTCCCATGTTATGCATTCCTGCTGAGTTTAAACCAGCCGTCACCAAGCGTCAGAACACTTTTTGACATTCCTCCGAATTTATCCCAAGATCCCGTGTATGGTGAAGTCAAAAAGCCGAAGCCGGATACCAAGCCCAAGCCCTATACCCAGCCTAGATCAGACAAGCAGCCCGGCTCTCCGAAAGATCCTGGGAAAGGTAGAGACATTGACTCGCTGCCTCTGCCAATCTTCTGCACACTTGACAACCCTGTTGTCTACAAAAACCTCCAGTTAAAGCTTGCTTTGATGGCTATTGGGTGGCTGGTGTGACAAACTTAAGATGCTAAGCGCCTCTGTTCCTTGAACTTGCTTGTTCTAAATAGCTGATGAGCTCACTTTCTTTACTTGCTTTGGGCTACATGTATGAGCTTTAGAAATTCTATTTTGCGGCTTCTGGTTCTTGAAGATTTAGAAGATGCAGCGTTTCTGGTATTAAGAATCTGCCTAAATAGAAAATACATTAGGATTGTTGTTTTTTTAATGCAGACCTCCAGCCAATGCTTGCTTTGATATGGCTATTGTATGGCTGGTGTGGGTCTACAAGCTTAAGATGCTAAGCGCCTCTGTTCCTTGAACTTGCTTGTTCTAAATAGCTGATGAGCTCACTTTCTTTACTTCCTTTGGGCTATGAGCTTTAAAAATGTTATCTTGCCGCTTCTGGGTCTTGAAGATTTAGAAGATGCAGCAGTTCTGATATTAAGAATCTGCCTAAATAGAAAATACATTAGGATTGTTGTTTTTTTAAAGCAGACCTCCAGCCAATGCTTGCTTTGATATGGCTATTGTATGGCTGGTGTGGGTCTACAAACTTAAGATGCTAAGCGCCTCTGTTCCTTGAACTTGCTTGTTCTAAATAAATGCTGATTTCACTTTCTTTTCTTCCATTGGGCTATGAGCTTTAGAAATTCTATCTTGCGGCTTCTTGGTCTTGAAGATTTAGAAGATGCAGCAGTTCTGGTATTAAGAATCTGCCTAAATAGAAAATACATTAGGATTGTTGTTTTTTTAAAGCAGACCTCCAGCCAATGCTTGCTTTGATATGGCTATTGTATGGCTGGTGTGGGTCTACAAGCTTAAGATGCTAAGCACCTCTGTTCCTTGAACTTGCTTGTTCTAAATAAATGCTGAGCTCACTTTCTTTTCTTCCATTGGGCTATGAGCTTTAGAAATTCTATTTTGCGGCTTCTGGTTCTTGAAGATTTAGAAGATGCAGCATTTCTGGTATTAAGAATCTGCCTAAATAGAAAATACATTAGGATTGTTGTTTTTTTAAAGCAGACCTCCAGCCAATGCTTGCTTTGATATGGCTATTGTATGGCTGGTGTGGGTCTACAAACTTAAGATGCTAAGCGCCTCTGTTCCTTGAACTTGCTTGTTCTTAATAGCTGATGAGCTCACTTTCTTTACTTCCATTGGGCTATGAGCTTTAGAATTTCTATCTTGCGGCTTCTTGGTCTTGAAGATTCAGAAGATGCAGCAGTTCTGGTATTAAGAATCTGCCTAAATAGAAAATACATTAGGATTGTTGTTTTTTTAAAGCAGACCTCCGGCCAATGCTTGCTTTGATATGGCTATTGTATGGCTGGTGTGGGTCTACAAACTTAAGATGCTAAGCGCCTCTGTTCCTTGAACTTGCTTGTTCTAAATAAATGCTGAGCTCACTTTCTTTTCTTCCTTTGGGCTATGAGCTTTAGAAATGTTATCTTGCGGCTTCTGGGTCTTGAAGATTTAGAAGATGCAGCAGTTCTGGTATTAAGAATCTGCCTAAATAGAAAATACATTAGGATTGTTTTTTTTTTAAAGCAGACCTCCAGCCAATGCTTGCTTTGATATGGCTATTGTATGGCTGGTGTGGGTCTACAAACTTAAGATGCTAAGCGCCTCTGTTCCTTGAACTTGCTTGTTCTAAATAGCTGATGAGCTCACTTTCTTTACTTCCTTCGGGCTATGAGCTTTAGAAATGTTATCTTGCCGCTACTGGGTCTTGAAGATTTAGAAGATGCAGCATTTCTGGTATTAAGAATCTGCCTAAATAGAAAATACATTAGGATTGTTTTTTTTTTAAACAGACCTCCAGCCAATGCTTGCTTTGATATGGCTATTGTATGGCTGGTGTGGGTCTACAAGCTTAAGATGCTAAGCGCCTCTGTTCCTGGAACTTGCTTGTTCTAAATAAAAGCTGAGCTCACTTTCTTTACTTCCTTTGGGCTATGAGCTTTAGTTATCTTATGTTATCTTGCCGCTACTGGGTCTTGAAGATTTAGAAGATGCAGCAGTTCTGGTATTAAGAATCTGCCTAAATAGAAAATACATTAGAATTTGTTTTTCTTAAACAGGTATTTGAAAAAAATTTTTTTAATATTCTCAGACTCTAAGCTTTATGAGCGAATTTCTTTGTTTCAAAATGTCTAGATTTCTGTTTGCTCTTGATTATTATCGTTTATAACAAAGCATCGTGTAGATACTGCCAAATTTATAGGTAGAGTAGATCATTTGCAGCTATCCAAACCTTCATTTGGTTGGTTGTTAACCCCATGCGTACAGGAAGCGGTCATGGCCGCGGCCGCTAATCCTCATTGGAATGCAGTTGCCAGCTGTGGTATGCCGTGGCACAGGGCTAGTGGGTAGTTCCACAGCTGCTGCTTTTGTGCAGTCCCGCTACCACACAAAGGCTGTGCAGTCATGCGGGCCACTTGCTCTATGTGTGGAGGAATGTCCCCATTACACCCAATCCTTAAGGGGTTAAGCACCTGTCTTTAGATTTTGAGTACTTTTGTTGCTTTGAATGAAAACAACGCACAAATGATCAACCCTACCTTTAAAAATGGTTGAAATGTCTACATTTTTACACATATGTACGCTGTTTGCCATTGCCATTGCCGGCTCTAAGTCTTTTTAATCTCTTTATATTTCAACCTTATCTCTCTGTTTCTTATCAGGCTTGCAAATTTTCCTCGGATCAGCTGATTTCCTCTTTTTGCTTTCCATTTGTGCCATTTAAAATAGAAAAACACTGTACAAAGTCTTGTAAAGATTTGAATTTCCTCTTTTTTGTGACTTCCCTGCTGCATGCCTGCTTATGCAACCTGTTTTCTTTTTTGGTGGCGCGGCTTTAAACCGTGGATTTTTTTTCTGGTGGCCTTCGAGATCAGCAAGGACTTGACTCTCGCCTTGAATCTCCAAATGGTATAAAGATAACCAAAGTCTAAAGATTTATTAGCGGTGTCTGCAGTTTTACATGCTAATCTTTATCTGTCAACAGCTCATTGCCATGATTGGACTCTTTCTTGCCAGCTTTTCCTCCTTTAGAGTTTGCAGCGGTGAAGGAAACAGAAACGAATCAGAGGAGGCGTTCCTGTACAGAAGTGCTGGCTGAACCTGGAAGTTTCTTTCAATCTGTTCTTTTTTTTTTTAGTGGTGATGGACATAAAAACTAATTTAGTTGTGCTTTCCAATGTAGAAAGAGTGCCTAGCATCTTCAAGGAAGAAGGCCATTATTTTCTTGCAAGTTGCCCTTTTTTGGTGGTTTGGAGCAGTGAAGGAAAGAGAAATTAATTAGTGCTGTTTCCAGTATGCTGTAATCTTCAGGGAGCAAGCAGGATGATTTTTCTGCGAGCGCCTCTTTCTGTCAAGATGTGTACTCACCTACTCAAGATATCCTAATGTATGTAAATAAAAATGTACTTCTAGTTTTTTTTTTTCTTCCAATTGGCTCACTAAAACTGATTCTTTTTTTCAGAGCCTGTCTACGGCGTTATCAATAAAAAGCGGCCGGCAGACCTCGTCTTGCAAGGAGCGAAGGACACCGGCGAAGGTAGAACACTCCATTGCAGCATCAGCCGTTCCATGTGCTTCCATAAAACGTCATCTTCTCTCAAATGTTTCTGTCCTTTGATCTCACTTTGTGTCTTTCTCAGTTCTATGATCAAAGACATTTTTGGAATCAAATCCCACTTTCTGCACCACAGTGTTTCAAATCACACATCTGACACCATTTTTGACCAAATAATTGTCTTGACCATATTTGGCCGAAATCATTGTCTCAATCATTTTTGGATCAAATCTTGCATTTTGTTCATATTTGGATCCAATCCCACTTCTGCCACCATATTTGAATCACATCCCACTAGTTTTTTTTCTTCCATTTTCTTCTTCTTCGACCAAAAAAATTTTGTGTAATAAACAAGCTTTACTTATAGTAGGGAATGTCAGACAAACACCAAATTGTATTAGAAGAGTCTTCAGCATTCCTTAATATGCCCAAGTAGTGACCCTTCCGGTAATCCTGATCATCAACATCCCTCATCTCCTCTGCAAAACCTTTTCAAAAAGCCATTTGAGGAACTTGTTTTGGAACCTTATTGTGAGGCGTTCTGGCAAAATGAGACAGAACTGGGCAGAGGTTGAAATGAGTGTTTGCAGGTATTGGGAAAGAGAACAAAATTCTCCTCACAAGACCGTTTGTTGCACATCAGTCGGACATTCAGTTGACAAGTTATGGCTGTTTAAAGTTTGCATTTATCGACAAGTCAATAAAGTAAAAATAATGAGAAAAAAGGCCTTTAAACTTTTGAGTTTGGTATACGAGAAAAATGAAAATGCCAATTGTTTTTCCTTAAAAGCACTTTTATTCCACAATGAACATACTTTTCCTTTAAAGTGTGTGTAGTGGACATATCAAAGATAACAAATATCAATGAATCTGAAGAAAAAAAAACACCCCATTCATTTTTTTCGCACTACAACCTAAGCCCAGTACCGTCTCATGTTGCCAGAACGCCTCACAATTAAGCAGAGATTCCCCTTGCTCATCATTACCCACAGCATCATTGAAGTCCGTAGAACCTGATAATGGCAAAGTCCAGAAGCTCTGAACCTCTCCCTTAACCTCCTTAAGTCCCTTAACCCTAACCCCCTAGGCCCTTGTTGCTTACAACCATCCTCAATCCTCCAAAATCCTCCAAAATTTTCCAAAATTTTGCAACTCCGCCTAAATTTTTCAAAATTGTCAGACAGTCCTGCCTCAAAATGCATTCATCCTCAATCCTCCAAAATCCTCCTCATCCCAAAACTTTGCACTCGTGTTTAAATGAAGGATAACCAACGCCAAATCCTTCAAAATCATCAGACAGTCCTGCCTCAAAATGCATTCATCCTCAATCCTCCAAAATCCTCTTGTGTTTCAATCACCATTCATCCTCAATCCTCCAGAATCCTCATTTGATTCAATCACCATTCATCCTCAATCCTCTAGAATCCTCCAAAACCGCCAGGAGGATTTTGGAGGAGTGAGGTGGGTTAGGGTTAATCCTAATTCAAAAGCCCCCATAATTCTGCAGAACCTTTTTTTTTTTTTTAGCAGGCATGCAACTTTTCCTCGGATCCGCTGATTTCCTCGTATTTTCTCATGAATGCCATTACAAATTGAAAAATTCTGTACAAAGTCTTGTGTGGGGTTAGGATTTTTGTTTTGTTTTTTGTTTGGCCTAAATTCCCAGTCGCATGCCTTTTTAAGGTTAAATTCCCAAATCCTCCCCATTGCTAATCCCAATCCACAACACCCTTAAATCTAGCAGAGCCGGTTATTGTACAGTGTACAGATCCCCCACAAATCCTCATTCACCAGCATCCTTAAATCCTGCTGAGCTCATTTGTCATTCTGTAGATATTTGTTTTAGCCTCCCCTCCGGTAATCCTCATCCACAAAATCCTTGAAACCTGCCGAGCTTTATGATAAATCCAGAATTCTCAAGCTCCCCCTCCCTCTAATCTAATCCACAAAATCATTTCATCCAGCCTAGCTTGTTTATGATACAATCCAGATTTCCCAAACCTCCGTTTCCTACCATCCCATCCAAAGCACTCTTTTATCCCACTTAGCTGATTGCCCCTAATCCCGATTTCCCTAATCACTCCCTCCCACTAATCCCAATCCACCACCACCCTTGACTCCCGCAGAGCCTACTTACGGCGTAGTCAACAAATCAGGCAAGCCCAGACCGGAACCTCCCCCACGCCGACGGAACAGCGCCCAATCACAAGGCTCGAAAGACACTGGCGAAGGTATACATAGACACGTAGCCCTGCCGTCACTTTACCACCATGGCTTGCTGTGTGACACATTAGCTATGCACCATTCAGATCACTCAAATCCTCACAGATCAGCCAAAATGCAACGCCAGAATTTGTTAGATTGTTAGATTCAGGGCTTCGGAGCTCATCTATCATTGCCTTACATGGGAATATCAATGAGCCATTTCGGTATTTCAACTGCGAATGCGCACAGTGATATGGCTTACGGGTCATTCGGGATAATAAAACGCTCATCAAAGGTGCACGAACGCGCAGGGAGACGGGCGCAAGACCTCGTCCCCGAATTTTACGAGCAGAACGAGCGTTCGCGAAGCATCGCGTTAAGCCCTGTTCATGCTTCACGCGAAAACGAAAGCGAAGCGAAATTCGTGACCTCAACAATACGTTCGAAGCGCGTCCACCATTGTTGACGACATGAATTTCGCTTCGCACTTGCTTTCGCGTGAAGTATGAACCTGGCTTCAGCGATCTATCCCGAATAACCTTTGACCTGGACTACTGCATCGAGATACTGAACTGGCTTATTGATGAACCTTTTCAGCTTTAAAGTATATATTGCTGTGCGATGCACTTCATGCTGAAAACCATTGCAAATCACTCAAACCCGCCCAGATCTACCAAAATCCTACGCCATAGATTTTGATTGACTCGGGACTGTGGAGCTCAGCCGTCTCTGCTTCACATGAGGGTGGAAGCTCCATTTGGTTTTGTTTCCATGTTTAACAGCAAGTTAACTCTCCTTTTGTTTGATCAGTCACAGACAGTCAAAACGACAATCCTGTTCACCAGCTATGCAGTGTCAGGTTTCAAATCAGCAATGTCACTCATCACACCCATACATGTACTTACCATGCCACATCTAACCACAGGGCCAGATTTGGCAAACATTCATAAACACATAATGCTAATCATTTTTGCTTTGTAGAAAGGCTGATCTTCAGTTTTCTAAACCATAACTTACGGGGTTTTTCAAAATCTTGGCGCCATGTCTGGCAGGAGTTTTGGTCCTGCAATGAGGGACATGTAGTCAGTATTATTTACGAAATGAGTATTAAACCAAATGTGTTAACCAGTTCGCGCCGGATGACGTGCATACCCGCAAAGGTTTTGCGGTATTCGGAACAGATGACGGATAAACACGCAGGGAGCGAGGCCTGGAAATGTCTGTCAGCGACCCGCTTGCAGCGAGCGAGGCCGGAAATATGAGTGTGCTGCTTGAGGGTCATGGCTTCAACCCGCCTGGCTTGAGGTCGAGTGAAAATAATCCTTGCCTCGTTTCGTTCTTGTCAAAATAATCCTGGCGTGAACTGGTTAAAGAAAAAAATATATTCCATTTGGTGTCGGGGATGAAAAAAACCTCATCAACACTTTTTCCAGATGAGGGCAGAGACCAAGCCAAGCATTTTGAAAACCCTCCAACGTAGGTTTAACATTATTGAACAGGGTTGGTATACCTTACACGTTGGATCTACACAGCTGCTGGTAGAGGTCCATGCTGTCATTGGTGTTGTTTTAGCAGTGTTGTATTCGAATAGTTTACAAGTCCTTTCACAAGTCCAGTCGAAAGTCCAGTCACAAGTCCTTTCATAAAGTCAGTCACAAGTAAGGGGATGAACAATGACAAAGGAATACTTTTTTAACAGTTCATTTGAATAGCTAGTGACTTGACTTGAGACTGAAGGAGTTGTGATGGACTTGCAGGGACTTGTGACGGACTTGTGACGGACTTGTGATGGACTTGCAGGGATTTGCAGGTACTTGCAGGGACTGGAATGCAACACTGCTTTTGAGTGTACAGTGTAGACTTCAGAGCTTTTCATTTTTTCAACTCTCATGGTGACATTTTCATTCTTAGATCAGCAAGTGTGCTCGTCAAGCTTCATCCCATGGCCTGCTGTGGTGTGGCTGAACAAAAATTATTCGTCTGGGCTTTTCTCATGTCTGTAAATTCACCTGTCGGCTAACTTAATCTCCTACTTGTAGATTGCAGAGTTGATATGGACACAGTGATTGAATTGTAGACGGCATTGTGCCTCACCTACTATGGGATCCGTGCGCCAACAAAAGAAGGCGCGTTTTTACCACTTTTGAGAGCTCCGTAGATGGGGAAAGCAGCGTGCGCGCGCGTACTGTACTGGTTCACGCACGAAGTACGCACAACTTCCTGAATGTGCAAAAGCTATAGCCACCGCGTCTTCGCGTGAACGTCAGGCGTCGTCGGCGCGCGAGTACGTTCAAATTCAACTTGCGATGGTCTCCGAGACTAATCCCTGCCTCCAATAACTTTGGATACATTCGAAATACGCAGTGGATGGATCGGGAACTAGTCTAGGTCACCCCAACTCTCCTTTTCTGGCCGTTGATGGGGTACTTGTGCACGGAGCCCATACGCACAAGAGCCACGGAAGGACACATAACAAATGTAGTGGTTGACGTGCAAATTACTTACCTATTTTCAATTAGATGCACACAAACTTGTAGCAGTTTCACATGATCACAAGACATCCGAGTGTAGACACAATTAGCGCAGATGTACATCTACCTACAGTAATGAGTCACTTTTTCAAAACCCACTTGCGTAGTTGTGCACGAAGCCGATTCATGTAGCTTGGTGCATGACTTAGCAGCAAGTCTGCTATATCAAAGATTGTTTTCGTACTCAAAAAGCCCTCGACCCCAGATGCCTTCAACAAAACTCACATTGATATTATGTGATTCTGAGCATACTCTATAGCCAGCAAATGGCTTTCCATTTTCAAAAACAAATTTACATGCTGCTTGTTTATGTACCCTTAACAATCATGATCTTATCCATATTCACCTTTTGTTGAACATTTGTCAGGGAAATGTGAAAAAAAGACACAGTCGTGGTGTAATATTGCTGTCTTTAACAACAGGTGACTTATCTGCAGCAGTGCTAAAGCAAAAACACTCAAAGCAAACTTGACACAAAGAAGAATCATCTATTTTTTTCTGATTGAGTCATTTTCAGTAGCGGCTATGAATAGTGACAGCAATATCTCAATGGCAATAATCAAATCCATAGCCAAAAAATGTCAAGTTTGGTAGCAGCCGCTAAGCACATATCTCTCTACCTAGTTGCTCACTGACATCCGGGGCCGCCGTGGACTAAGCAGGTGAACTAATTCTGCTAACCGCCTATAACTTGAAAATTGAACTTCTCAGATTCTTTCCGTCGTCGTTGTAAAACAGAAGTCAAGCGACGATCCCAGGAAGATTCCAGCCGCACCTCGTCAGAAGAAGGTAGAAATTAAAAAACAAAAAAATTGCCGAAGTAAAAAAAGCCTTCACCGCTGCTGTAGTTAAATCCAAAAAAGCACCCTTGCTCTTGTCTGTAGTTTAATTTATGTATTTGCTGTAAGCTTTGATGAATCTTTGTGTTCAAAGCTGTTATTAGGTGACTGAGTGTCTGCTTAAGCTGTATCTAGACAAAGTATGCTGTATTTGTTAGTTGGCATTAATTTGGGGAGACGTGCTTTAGCTTCAGCACAGCTCTGCACTTGTTTTGTGTAGATTTCTTGAAGGGTTTTAAAACAAGTGTATTGAATTCTGTTGAAGTTGTATACAAGTCACAGATATTTTTGTTGATTTCAAAGCCTCTTTAGGATCAGTTTGTGGCAGAAATGTAGACCGTGGTTGGACTTGGGTTTTAAAACATTTGTGACTTTATTCCCAGTTAACCGAAGAGATGTCAAAACGAAGAAGATTGTCGAAATTATCTTTGAAAAATGCATTCAGTTAAATGTTTCATTTGTACGCTTCACTGCTGTCCGGTACGTAAGTGTGACGTCATTTCAACCTAAATGATGCCCACTGCACATGGAGTAGCATTGGAACCATTGGAACCAGAAGTAGTGCAAAGTGGCGTGTTTAGCCAATGGGTGCTAGTAATCAGTGGTGCGTGTGCGTGTGTACGACACAGTCACTTACGAACCGGATAGTTGCAGAGGAAAATATTCTGTGGTATGATGAAAAGCGTGTCTTTAATTTTGCATGAAAGCTTTTTTTGTGTCAATGATAAACTTGATGATTTCAATAAGTTCAAACAAGAGTCTATTCTGCTGAGGATGTTTTGATTTTGTTTTATTATTCATGTTTTATATGAAAGGTTTACATGTACATTAACTAACAACTTTAATTAAGTCAGATAGCTAACAACCTTAGAAAAAGATCCTACTCAAATATTTTTTAAGTCTTATGTTGTGTTTTATTTTTATCTGATTTTTTTTCAGCAGGAGCATTTCCAAGATGTGCTTTACAATGTTACATTCTTGAGTTCTCATTTTCATCTCCATAATTTAATTGCAGAAATTCCAGTAACATAATTGCATATCATTCCACGCAAAGACATGCACATTCCATGTTGCAACATTCACTTTGTAAAACTGTGTGAGATTTCTGCAGAATTTCTGTAAAACATTGACATTCTGTAAAAATAATCCAGAATGAAAAAATACATTTGGAGTGGGGAAGTCTGAAAACATCCTCACAAAAATTATCATGACATGAAGTCTTCTATAATCTACTGAAATTCTGTAGAAATTCTCCAGATGTTTTACAAACGTATACTGATTTAATTTCCCTACCATGCTTACCCTATCCAACAGTTATTTCTAGTATTGACCCAGTTTTAAATGAATCTGATTTTTTTCCCAGGGCATCTTTACACAGATCCTGAAGGAAGGACTTGGAAAAAAAAAAGAGGTCTTGATATAGACCAATCCGGTCACAGCATCAATTCTATCATGAAGGCTCACTACTTTTTTACTACAATGTATTCAATGTAATACTACAATGTATACAATGTAATACTGCAATGTATACAATGCAATACTACAATGTATACAATGTAATACTGCAATGTATACAATGTAATACTGCAATGTATACAATGCAATACTACAATGTATACAATGTAATACTACAATGTATACAATGTTATACTACAATGTATACAATAATGTATACAGTGTAATACTACAATGTATACAATGTAATACTACAATGTATACAGTGTAACACCACAATGTATACAATGTAACACCACAATGTATACAATGTAACACCACAATGTATACAATGTAATTCTACAGTATACAATGTAATACTACAATGTGATACTACATTGTATACAATGTAATACTACAATGTATACAATGTAATACTACAGTGTATACAGTGTGAATCTGGTGATTGACTATAAATTAATGCCAAGTAATTGTTAATGTTTTCCATGACAGGGAGGCGTCAGCGTCGTAGCCTCAGCCGCAGCCTGAGTCGCTCTTCCTCCACTCGCAGCTCAGAGGCTGAGGATGAACAAGGTTGATCATTGGTTTCTGCTGGTACCCATCACCCGTGAACCGGGGACACTGATGCAGGCTAATAAAGGCCATCAAATGTGGCATCTTACAAAATCAGACAAATTTGGGCATTCTCTGAATTGAACTGAGAAAAACTGAAGAAACAAAAAACAAAATCAAAATTAAACCATTTACTTGTTTACTATCAAATTGTAAAGGCCCTTTATCCAGGATAGTTATTACCCACAATGCTTTGCCTGTTCTCATAAAATCCTGTGATTTTTCATTAGCCTGTACCAGCAGTCTTGGGTGAAAAATAGTGGACTTGACTGCCATCATTTTGGCAGGGGTGTGAAATCTCGGCTTTAAAGCTGATTTCAGCTTTTTTTGTTTTGGATTCCAGCTTTTTCTCCTCACTTGCTGTGCACAAAAGTATAGGAGATTTCCAAAGTTCAGCTTTCTTACACCTTTTCCAGCTGTTTTCAACTATTTTTATCAGTGGTCACTCACACCCCTGTTTTTACTTAAAAATTGTTGTTTTGGCTCGTTGACTTTTTAACTTTTTTTTGCAATTCCATATTGAGCTTTGAGAGAGGCTCAAGCGCAAAATAGTCTGGTGCTTGATTAAACTCATACATTTACTCAATACTTGGCTTCAGGATATCTGACCAAAATGGATGCCTGACCAAGATGTTGGCAATAAAAAATCATACCTGGTTTTTTTTTTTGGTTTTTTTGCAACAGAAGCTTTTTACTTTTGTTCAATTTCATATAAAATGTTGTGTCATAATTCACGCTACCATGGGGTACTCGTTTTGGGGGTTAATGAACAAGCTAAAATCAGCTTTTCAGAAGTTTGTGTTGTCATTTGTTTTGGTTTTCGATTGGCTGTTATTTTTTTCGTGCAAATAATAAACAACTGAAAGGGGAGTGCTGTGTGCAAAACATTTCAGCATGTCATATCTCACTTATTCTTGTTTTGAAATTTGGAATTAAAAAATCACAATATTCTTGTGACAACTTTAATTTTTCAAACAGTGTCCAAAAAAACGAATCTGCTAAAAATCATAAATATTCAAGTAACTGAACTATTGAAAAAAATGGCTCCATAAAACTTATGATTTATAAATGGAAAAATGTTTTTATTTTATTTATTTGCTTGGTATGAGATTTAAAATACCATGTATACGCTGGGTATCACATCCAGAATATACTGAAAAAAACATGAGCCTCTTGATTTGTGTTCGTGCTGCTAACTCATCATTTTAAATCCAACAGGAGAGGATAAAATCTGCTTACTCATTTGTTTGATTTCATCTCATTTTGGCTTTTGAGTTCTTTAGAGCCTTACCTGCCGTGTACTAATGCCAGTTTCTTTCCAACAGTATGGTTATTTCTACAAGACAAGGCCTCGAGAAAAGTTCACATCAGAGATAAAGAAAATCCAGCTTGCTTCATTTTGTTGACATTTTTCTTTTCACTTTAAAATGAGAGTAAAGGAAGATGATATTGTTGTTAAAAGTAATGTACAACATTTGCAAACATCAAGAAACAAAACTACCAAATTATTATGAAATACCTTACTTGACTGAAAGTGAATAAAAGTCTCATGCATCTTGTGAAATCGTGGCACCTGGTGTGCTGTCATTTATTATTCATTATCAGATGGTCAGCCGACTTTTTCAAATACTGCCCCCAATTTACCAAATTTATTTAGTCCACATTTTGTTTGTAATCGGTTACACATCTGTGTACGGGTGCAAGCCAGCTAGTCTGGTTCCCTGACCTGACAATTCCCTGACCTGACAATTCTGTTTTATCTGAAGTAGGGTCAGGGGACCAGACTACAAAAACAACATTTTTTCTTGGTTTTTCCAGCATCTGTGAACACAAAACTACAAGTCAGTGTAACAATATTTGCTATATAATACTAACTCCCCAAATCCATCCATTTCTGAAAATTACAGCACAAGCAAATGTTGTATATTACCTTTAAGAAATATCAGATCATGGATTCTGCATTGACGCCAGAACCTCCATTCTCACTCTCATTTTGTTTAGTGGCAGGCCACATTTTTATTTCATATCATTTATCATTTTAATAAACTTTTCAGTCTCTTACCTACATTATCTTCTATCAGGCAACTTTTTAGTCCTTGCATGTTGGACTTACAGGCGGAGTTTTCAAGTTTGTTCTTAAAAATCTGTTGGATCTTAAAATATACGTCATTGGAAGTAAAGAGCACATCACGTAATCTTGTTGCAAGAATACAGTCCTTTCGATGTCAATGACGCAGTGTGACATTTGTTTTGTAATCATCGGGGAAAACAAATTTACTTTTCTCCAAATGCTGTAGTGTAGTTTATATTTCTTTGCTTATAATCCACTGGATCTGTTTTGTAACCTACACTATGTATTTTTATTTTAACTGATGAAAAAAAAATCTGGAAATTAATGTCAAGACCAAGAAAAATTGTGTGATAAATGTAATATACAAATAATGAATGTTTATAAGCCCTTACCAAAATTAATTTCATCAGGTGACAAATTGAAAGTTTCACCAAATGAAATTATTCTTTCCATTGCACGAATGTTAAACATTCATTATTTGTTTTATACAACACCTGAATAAATCCTCGTCATCTAATAGGTCATCAGAGCTTCCAGAGTGTAGCCGTGCAATGGAACTTCTATTTACCGTGGAATAGAACTTCTATTTTTGCAGTGCGGCTTGGATTTGAGTTGGGACAAATAATTTAGTGATATGTGATCAACGACCCACCTATCAGATAACTAGGATTTGAGGTGTTGTATAATTGATAACAAGAATTTTCACACAAAAACACGTCATTTTTTTCCAATTCTGTGCATGGCACCCCCATTGAATTGGTCTCAGATCTAGTATCATGATTTATAAGTGCTTGTAGCGAAGTTTACGTTTTAATTTCGCTCTTAAAAAAAAGAAGTCAACTGAGCCAAATCATAGCATTCATTTGCTGAGATGGTTTTGGGCTCTTACAGATGTTGAGTTTTAATCGTCAGCAATTTTGCTATCATCGCTACACAAGGAAACAAAACATATCACTGCGTTTATTTTGCAAAAAAAAATTGTTCACTTGCAGTGTCAAAGACAGTGTCATCTGTAAAAGCTGTTTTGTTTGTTAACCCCTTTTTTCTTTTAAATAATAAAAAAAAAATATAATAGCTTCTTTTATTTTTTACTCTGATCAGGATTTGTGGAGAACATCATTTACGACAGAGGTCCTGGGAATGGTAAGATTTATGTCAAGGATGTGTGAAGTGAAAGGAAGACCTTTGTTTTCTTAAGTTTAGTTGTAGTTTTCTTGGCTTCTGCCAAACGCTGGTTGGCAAGTCTAGTAAAGCTGGTCCCAGGGGGGTTGAGGGGGACGTCCCCCCCCCCCCCCCGCCCCCTCCAGCCATCTCCAGTGGACAGATGGGCATGCCCCCTGGTGCGCCCCCCCCCCCCTCCATTTGAAATCTTGCATTGCACAAAAAACAATATGCATGTGTCTCTCCCCCCCCCCCCCCTAGAAATTTAACCCTAGCTACGTTGCTGTCCAGAGCACACAAAATTCTATTCAAGAGATTCAGAATGGCCATTCACTAGAAGTCCTTCATGCTGATGGTAAACACAATGGGCCGGATTTATCCCAGTCAGTGGCACTACAGGGTAATCCTATACAATAGCACTGCCCGACTCACAAGTGACAGTCAGTCAGCCAGCCAGTCAGATAGATGATAGGGACCAGCAAGTATTAGTAAGGTAAAGGGGACGAACCTGTGTTCACAGGAACGGAGTGCCCATCTCTCATTAGCAATTGGGCCAGACTCATATGCTGCTGTGGGGGATCGCCACACCTCCTCTAAGCGAGTCTGTTACCCTCCCAGTATTGAATAATGCCGGTACCCATTACACACCTGTATTGAGAGGAGTAATTGAGGTAAAATGCCTTACTCAAGGGCACAACACACATGGCCACTGCGGGGCTCGGACCACAATCTCACGATCATGAATCCTGTGCCCTACCGCTAGACCGCACTTGCCCCCTTCTTTTTATTGCTGCACTGTCCCACTTCCACAAACCTCTTGCTGTGATGTGGGATCTTTGTCGTTTCTTTCAACTGAAGGGACCGTTCACTATGCTTCTACACAACTCTTTGATGCTCACTCAGGTGATGCTGGTATGGTCCGCAATCCGATCTACGATTCGGCTGAGGGTATGCCCCAATACCGCCCAAAGCCGGCCGTGCCGCCCAAACCGGTAAGTTTCACTCTTCGCCAAATCGTTTTTAATGCTGCGCTGTTTACTAACTAATGCCTGCCAATTTTGTGTCCCCAGAATATCTTTGCTTTTAAAACAGCTTGGTTTTAGTGGTGAGCAGTTGTATAAGCCTAACTTGACTCAAGTTGAGATAAATTTCATTGCATTCAATACAGGGTGAGTAAACAAAAAATGTTGGGACCATTGTTTTAGGGAAGTTCTGCATGAAGCATTTTTTAAATCGAATATGAAAGCCCAATTCATGAGCTTTCTTTTGGTAGAAGAATCATTCAAATCACTCATGTACTTTTCAAGTTCCAGAGTTTTAAACACAACCGCAGTTTTAAGGTTCTGTCCACGGATCACATAAAAGTTCAGTGTTCTTTCAGCAAAACAAATCACATAGGGATGTGTGTGAATTGTTTTCATTTTGCTGAAAGAATGCACGCCTTTTTGTGATCCGTGGACAGAACCTTAAAACGGTGGTTGTGTTTAAAATTCCGTTACTTGAAAAGTACATGAGTGATTTGAATGATTCTTGTACTAAAAGAAAGTTTATGAATTGGGCTTTCATATCCTAGATTTTGAAAGTGCTACATGCAGAACTTCAATAAAACAAAAGTCCCGACATTTGGGTTTCATTTTTTTTTTACTCGCCCTGTACTTTGGAAGCTTGATGTTATCATGAAAAAGTTCTGCCGTCAAAAGAGACTCCTTTGATGCTTTAAATCTTTTCCAATGGACACACAAACTGCAAAACTTTGAGTTGTCAAGTAGATAAGTGCTTTATTTTAAAACCCTTTTGTTGTTTTGTTCAATTCAGGCGTGATTGTTTTGTTGAAAAGAGGGTTTAAGTATAGAGTACTGAAATGTGACGTCAGCTGTCATTGTTCTGGTACACTCGGGTTTGTGTGCTGACGTCTTCACTTGGCGTGGAACAGAATACGCAGCACACTTCGGTACTCTATAGTATTAATCCAAAACTTTAGTTCTTTTGCAATTTTTGGAAATATCACCTTTTTTGGGACAATTTTTTTAGTCTACCGGATTCGATGAAATTTGATTTTTGCATGAGATTTGTCGATGATTATATTTTTTTCTACTGATACTGAGGCATTGGGAATGACAAAAATGATTCTGGATTCATAACTAGTTGAACCGTTTATGCAATCCGTTTATAGCTTGATCCATGGTTTGACTAACCAGGCTGACTAGGTGGAGGACATGCAGTTAACGGATTTGTACTTCTTTTTTTTGTTCAAAATTCTACTAATTTTAATACTAGGCTTGATAATGTTTAAAAGACAATGCCATGCTTGTGATTTTAAAAGTGCTGACACTCTTGCTTGGTGTATAAGAGTTAATAATTTCCCCATTTATTTGTTTGTTTTTTTGTTTTTTGGGTTTTTTTTGTTTCTGATTTACATGTTGATTACGCATTTTTTTTCCAACCTTTCAGTTGTTACTTTCATCCTGTTTATTAAAATGTATTTTTTTCTCTCAAAATGTAAAAGTTCTTGCAAGATCAGTCGAACAAGCTGTTGTGGGGATGGGAAGAAGTTGCAACAGATGTTCTCCACACATTTTTTCCTCACACATTGCTCATGCTAATACATTACATCTTACACAAATTAATTTCATGAAGAGAGGGGGGGGGGGGCATTTACCCACTTGTATTGGTGCAGAAATATGCTCCTAAACATTTTTGTACAATATTCAGCAGATCACCAATATAACAAACACCGCTCTTTTCGTTAATATCGGACACCCACTTCAGCTGCCAAGTTTCATGTACAATCATGTCCAGCACAGGTGGCCCGAAAACACGTTCTGAACAATCTCTTGTGGTCCCCAATATAAACGTTATAGGTTTTTAATTGATTGTATAAAAAAAATAAAAGTTTGTGAATCTTTTATGACGTTTAATTCAAAGTAGTTCTTAGAAAAACAAAAACATATCAAAATGCTGACTCTCTCTGGAAACCTGTTTGCTTTCTTCTGTACTTATTCCGCCCCGCTTTAAGCTGAATATGGCCAATTACCAACACGTTGCCGAAAAACTTAGCAAACCCCGGGACCCCATAGGCGGAGGCGGGGCCGGACTGGTACGCCCCAACCACCTCCCCTTCACTGGTACGACATCGACGACACCGAGGCACCCCCTCAGGGCCCCCTTAGCTACCCCCGAAAAGGGGGTCTTCTCGAGCCCTATGGAAGCCATAAAACATGCGCTTGGTGTTGGGGAATATGGCAACTCACAGGATGTTCAAGCGAGAGGGATGGTAGGTTTGCAAACTAAAACGGAAAAGAAATTAATCTAAAACAAATGGTTTGTGCTGGCCGGTAGTAGCTAACTTGACGGGTATGTCCTGATATTAGCAGAGGGATGCTCAGATGTTGTCGTGAATTTTGAAAGTTCAAAATTTCTTGTCCTATCAGTGGGATATGAAGAAATCTAAAATGCCAAATTGTAGTTGAAGACAGCTGGCCACTAATATTTTCTTCAGCCAGTGAGTGACTAATTGTTCCAATAGGCTTCATTCACGAGTCGGCCATATTTGATTGAAAGCGAGGCAAAATCTTCATTTTTGGAACTTGCAAATAGAAACGAAAGCTATGAAATAAAGTTAATTACAAATTAATACCAGTCTGCTCTGATGAATAATTTCAAATTTGTCTGAAGCCACATTTAAAAGAAAATTGAAAGTGAGGCTTGGAACGCATAAATAGTCTGGCACCATCCCATTCAACAGTTTACAATTTATAGAATACATTCAGGGAACATGATCAAAAATGGCTGCCTCGTGAATATACAGGTCTATAAAGGCTGCTAGTTCAGGAAAATCAGCTGCCACAAAATACTTGGATGGAACTGTATTGAATTGTGGGAACCCAAACTAAAGGCAGCCAATCATGATCCAGTATTCAGACAAATTGGCCAATGAGAGAACTTTAAAATTTAGCCTGTACCAATGCCCTGTGGGTATGAGCAGGACATAAATTAACTGATGTCCCTAAACCATATGTGACCTGCAATAGCATAATGAGGAATAACCCCCACCTTTGACTTTTCAAGTGATGCACATCATGTTAAAGCGAAAATCGTTGGCGTTTTAATGATACCAAATTTATTTCTGTAGCTGAATTCACTCCAAAGATATGCCGCAGGAACTCCAACAGTGTTCCGCCAATCCTCGCCAACACCATTTCGAGAAAAACGGCTTTGAAAAAAAGATTTGCTTTGCGCCGCCAACGGCAGTGATAAACGTTTTTCAGTTGCTGTTTTTTTTTTCACTTTTGGGGGTGTTTTTCCCCACAAAAACGCATAGTGTGAATCTTGGATACCTTGACTACTCAAAAATACAAAACAACAATTATCAATTTTGACATGATTTTTCTACTGTTATCCGACTTAAGGCGGATAACAGTAGAAACAAGATTTTGGGGGGCACTCCTCTTTTGCCTCAGTAGGTCAAATATGGCATGATTGCTACTTTGATTCGTAGCATTTGAGCATCCGTATGTTAATATTGTGGATATTCCCTCAGCTAAAGTAGCTCATTTAACACCCTCAAAAAATACTAGTTTCAGTTTGCGTTACTAATCTCTTTAGTTTTTATACATTGCAACCATTAACACTCATGCTAATCATGCTTAGAATATTACTAGCGGGAAACTTGTACATGGTGTGTTTTCTTTTCTAATCGACTAAAAGAAATAATTAATTTTGCTGTGGTTGGCAAACTTTTGAGTTTGATTGAAAGTAGTTTGCTTTCTCTTGGTGGAGGACTAGGTTTTTTTTAAACAGCTACTAAACTATCCTTTCCTGCCCAATCCCAAATAAATCGTACACAATTTAAAATATATATATATATATAAAATAAAGCTTGATGCTTGCTACAAAAAAAAAAGTGTTGTGGTGTTATTTTCCATTAAAGATTAAAAGGGATTTTTGTAGTAGTGGTGTACGTGTAGCTTAGATAGCTGGTTTTGACTTTTTGGTATCGAGTTTTGGGTGTACGTGTACATGTTCAATTGAATATGCAGCTGCTGCCATAGTCGTTGGGATAAGACGGAAAACAAAAATACAAATCAGGTAGGGTTCAAAATTATGATGTATGATTGGTACAAAGTTTCACGGATCAAATTCTCAGATTATACATGTTATAGGGACTGACACCCAGAATTTGGGTACAAATGACCAGAAATCAGGTAAAATACCCAGTTCATGGAAACTCCCACATATTGAGTGCCGGGTACACCACCCAGTTTATGGGGTATTAAGGCACAGATGCAGAGTACAACACACAGTTTATTGGGTACAAACACAGATGTGGAGTACACCACCCACACACCCAGTGTGGAGTACACGACCCGGATTATGGGACATCACCCAGATTATGAGGTACAAACATCCTTATTATATCGGATATTAACACCCAGATTACAGGGTACAAACACCCAGACTATATGGGATATTAGCACCCAGATTATGGGGTTCAAACACCCAAATGTGGAAAACAACAAGATGTCAAGGTCGAGTGTGGGAAAACCTTGTGGTTGATGTGTTTACCACCCTTTTGGTGTCTTACGTTAATTGTTTTCTCATCAACTTTGGAAGTGGTGGTGGTTTTATTTCACTGTTTGCAGCAGTTTCTTTCTTTAAGAAATAGATTTTAAAATATGTGTGTACATTGGGTATGTTTTGTTAGATATGTTTACCTTTTAAGCAAAATATCCCTGTGTTATATCCCATCATACCCGAGAGATTCCTTTTTAACAGACGTATGGTAACGAAAACAGTTGGCTTTGCTGGCTTGCATGTAGGATCCAGGACATTTTGCAGGATCATTTTAAAAGTAACACTTAAAAAGAATCAAAAACCTAAAATACAAATGGATTACGAACACTTAAATGAAAAGCCTGACTTCGTTTGCATTCGCTGAGTCTTGGACTGGCTGAAATTGCATGAAAAAGAAATGGCTGGCCAATTTGAAAGAAGGAAAACAAACTTATTATGAGCAGTTTCCAACAAAGGTTTGTACATGTTTAGTAGTCTTCTGTTTGGTGTGAGTGGAACATCGCCACAAAAGTGTTCTGTGATATTTTCCTAAAATGGCACAAGATTGAAGTTAGAGTACCTTATTGAATGCAGAGGCAGTATGCTCCACAAACACTAAGAAGGGGCCATTCATCTTCAAGCAAAAACTTGATGAACAGGGCTGAAGGTTTTGTTTTTTAAGAATGTCAAAGTGTTCTGTTTAATGAAAAAGTCTTTCTAATTGAAAATGAAAGTGAAAAATAGGTCATGCAACTATGACATAATATCACACTTAAGTTGTTATGGGATTGACCAATCAGTAACGAGGATTGGAATTTGCCTGAAGATAAGTGAAGACGATTAAAAGCACCCCTTGCCCCAGGTTATCTTTGTAAGCGTGTGTTTGTTAATAATTATACAGGCCAAGCTCATTGAGATGCTAAGTACGGAAAGCACATAAGCAGTTTTGAAATGCTATGTATAGAAATGGGTTTATGTCCAAATTGCATGTGATGAATTTCCATAGGTGCTCAGCATGTAAAATTGATTTTGTCATCAATATTTTCTACTTGGCTTTTGTCAACTGAGGCCCAACTTACTGCTATATACATGTTTTTGCTAAGCGAATCAAGTGAGCGGAGTTGTGCATGTAATGAACTCCTTCTGTCGGGAAATAAAAAATTGTTCCAAAAGATTCACACCCTGCTACAGCCAACCTGTTCCTTCCCCCACACCCCCAACGGCGTGGGGGTGACGCCTCAGTCGCCCCTCAAACCCAGTCCTTCCCCCCTCCCAGACTAATTTGTTAGTCCTATAAGTGACCATGGTTAACACATTAAACAGAAATTGGGCGTCCCCCACTGTTGATCCCCACTGTAACATCCAGCCCCCTCCCCACCCTATGACTCTATGGCGAGAACCCTGCCTATACACAGCTGCCCTCCCCCCCCCCCACCCCTACCCCCACCCATCTGTATATTCGTCAATGGATTTGTTCCCAATACCAGACAGTAGTACTAAACAAAAAAGATACTGAATGCATCATACAATAACTTGAAGTTAGAAGCTGATGTGTGGAAGATCTGAAGGAGCACAGAATCATTTTCCTAAATTAGAAATTGGTTAACCCTCCTACTGTTTAAGAAGTCACCAATGGTCAACATGTTTGTATCTCACCTCCTGGCATACTGAGTACAAACCAGTGGGGGTCTTGAGCAATATTGGCCCAAGTAATAACCAGGCTGACAATGCATGTTACCATAGGAGGGCTAATTAGTAGCCAAAATGTCACAATATTTAGAAATGTGCTGATAGTGCCTGGCTCCCAGTTGCTTTTTTTCCCCCTGCATGTAAACATGCTGAGTAATTTTATTTGGCCTATAAGTGCCTGTGACATTGGTCTTAACGTTTTGGAGAAAAAAAATGAAATTCCTAGCTTGTTTCGACAGTAGGATTTGTCATTTTTACTACAGTAAGCAAATTTGCTAAGCTGAATTTCGAATTGCCTGCTTAATGCTTAGCAGCTGAATGAGCTTTGGTCCTGTTTTCCATCCCTTCTGTTGTGATGCATGGCTCACTGAGACCACATCCAAATGACTTGGGCTATGGCTTCCAAGACACATACCCTTATGGAAACGGCTTAAGCCACATCCCATCAAGGTCAATAGCCACTTCCCGTATGGCTCAGTCTATAAATTTAGGGTCCAATGTTTTTCCCTGTTACATCTGACGTCAATGATTATATCGGACCATCACTTTCACCTCATTTCTGGACTAAATTTTTTTCCGACAGAGACAACGGGGCAACAGAGGTCACGCTGCAGATGACGGTTCAGGGGACGTGGATCCGTCCGACCCCACCTATGCCGCGGTCATAAAGAAGCCTGGCTTTGATAAGGTTGTCAACGAGTTTGAAAAGCAGCTGCCGAAGGGTGAGGAAGATGTGTGATTTGACTTCTGATCGGGCTTGTGATTTGACTTGTGGTGACTAACGATTGGCTTGTGATTGAGGTGTGGGATGACTTGAGATAGACTTATGATTGGCTCGCAATGGACTTGTGATGACTTGCAATTGACTTGTGGTTGACTTGTGATGATTTGTGACTGACTTGTGATGATTTGTGACTGGCTTGTGATGATTTGTGACTGGCTTGTGATGATTTGAGATTGACTTGTGACTGACTTGTGACTGACTTGTGATAAATTGTGATGAATTGTGGCTGGCTTGTGATGATTAACATGTATGACTGACTTGTGATTGACATGTGACTGATTTGTGAGTGGCTTGTGATGATTTGTGACTGGCTTGTGATGATTTTTGACTGGCTTGTGGTGATTTGTGAGTGGCTTGTGATGATTTGTGACTGGCTTGTGATGATTTGTGACTGGCTTGTGATGATTTGTGACTGGCTTGTGATGATTCACATGTATGACTGACTTGTGACTGACTTGTGATGATTTGAGACTGACTTGTCACGACTTGTAACCTGACTTGTGATTGACTTGTGATTAGACTAAGATTGGCTGGCAATGGACTTGTGATTACTTATGATGACTTGTGATTGATTTGGGACCACTTGTGATTTAGCTTGCGGATGACTAGCAATTTGACTTGTGATTTATGACTCTTGCGCACCCGATCACAGGCAACACAAGCAGCGACAGTGACAGTAAAGGCAGCGCTGAGGCGGACCGATACCACCCCCACCGGAAGAAGCGAGGCAGCTTCCGCAAACGAAAGAACAAAGACGTGCGTCAAGGAGAAAATAACGACAATAGCGGCCACCAGGACGACGGCACGTACGCGGAGGTCGTGTTCTCTCCGGGCGTTGAAGGGGTAAGTGAAACAAGTCCTTTCTCTTTGAAGTGATAAGCTTTGGCTTTATAGCACTTAGCATAAATTAACATAAATTAACATAAAGTGTAAAAATTAACATAAAGTCACACAAAGCAACTGTAACAAGCAACTCTATATTCGCAGCAAGCTTTCGAAACCTTCGGGAAGAACAACGCACATTTTCCTTTTTTCTGAAACATAAAAAGGCAAAAGCTTTTCGGTTGTTGAAGGAAACGTATTATTGGCAAGGTAACCGGAGTACCGGTAATTACTGCTTTCAAGGATTGCATAAATTGTTTTCCTTTTTTGAAAATTTGCTTGCTTTTGTTTTGGGAATAAATTTTGTGTTTACACATGGTAATTGTCTATTGTCTATTGTTCCTTCTGCTTGCTTGAAAAAATATTGACTTACTGTTGGATTCCTTTTACCATAACGAAAGAAAATTAATATATTTAGTTAAAGCGTGAAGAACGAGTTGTGCTGATCATATGACCAAGTTGGAATCTGGGCCAATTGTGAAAATCAACATCGCCATTAAATTGAGTTACTGCTAATGGCTCAATAATCAGGGGAAAAAAAGGGTAGCATTTTAACTTGGGCAGACATTCTGTTTTCATTGCTAATATAATGCCAAACCTTATTTTACTTTAGTTATTTAGTTTATGTTCCGCTCTTCCTAATTCCCTTTCCCGGATCGGCCGATTGATCAGGTCGACCCCAAAGTCCGAAACAGGCAGCTTCGGGAGGAGGAGAAGAATCGCAAGAAGGAAGAGAAACGAAAACAGGCTGCCGATAAGAAAATGGTCAAGGTAACCAGATTGAGCCCTCATTTGACCCTTACCTGACCCCTAGGTCAAAACGGAAGCAGGCAGCCAATAAGAAAATGGTCAAGGTAACCGGATTGAGTCCTAACTTGACCCCTAACTGGACCCCTAACCTGACCCCTAGGTCAAAACGGAAGCAGGCAGCCGATAAGAAAATGGTCAAGGTGACCAGATTGAGCCATAATTTGACCCTAACTTGACCCCTAACCTTACCCTTAGGTCAAAATGAAAGCAGGCTGCCGATAAGAAAATGGTCAAGGTAACCGGATTGAGCCATAATTTGACCCTAACTTGACCCCTAACCTGACCCCTAGGTTAATGCCCGTCTCATGAGTTGTCCTTTGACAGTCACAATACCCCATGCTGCAGAGTTTTGCTTTACTAAATTACCAAACACCACCTCCGGTCCAAACCCCTGCACAATATTTTGTTGGTCACACTCGGAAATGTAAGCAATGTGCAAATTGTCAATAACAAAAATGTAAACAGTATGCATACCACATGTAGTACGGCAATGGCAGCCATTTTGAAAATTTTGAATTTCTTTTGTAATTCTGCCTATATATTTTTTCAAAGAACACATCTGCGATGGCCCTATAGCCAAGTATCTTTCTTAAGACATACTCTGACTGTGTGCCAAATGCCACGCTTGTATCATCAAAGGCACAATTCCCCCAAATATTTCCCCTCTCCGCCCCACTATAATAATGCCACTCATTCTCTTACTAGACTTTGACTGCTGTGGTCTGGTGGCGGATACTCTCTGTAGTGTAAGACTTCAGCCCTGGTGGTGGGATTTTTCGAACTCAATTAAAGAATAAAAAGATGCTTTCAAAGAATTAAGCTTAAGCTACATTCACCTCTGTGTGTGGAAACTGACGGCCATTTCAGACTTGCAGTGCGTGCCAAAATAAGTCATTCTGAAGATTAGAATTAAGCTCAGCGTTTGAACCTATTGAGGATTGACGAGGCGTGAAGATTGATTGTAGCAGTCGTTTACAAAGACTCCAGGTCCAGTGAATTAATAAGCCATTTTGCGAGTGACCTATACCCTTTGGGATTTAGATTTGGAAAACATCTGGTACACTGACTTGCTCAGAATGCTTGGCACATGTTAACTTTGAATTCTCCAGACCAAAGACACTGTTGCTAATCACATGATTCGGGGCAAGCTGTTGCATAGTTACGTAAGAGACGCTCAGCACCAATACATCGTTCACAATGGGTGAGAATGGCACAAAGACACCAGACCATACTGGAGCTGGGGGTTGCTAGCATAAGCATTGCCCCGAATCACGTAATAAAGTAACAGTCTCTTGGGTTAGGAGAATGCAAAGTAAATACGTGCAAAGCATTTGATTAAGTCAGCTTTCCAGATTTTATTCAAATTTAACTTGCAAATGGCTTATTAGGGCTTGAACTTGTGGCCCATCTAAAACCAAACTCTGTGTGGGTCCACTTGAGTCAGTCTAATTGGCATTATTTTTTGGCGTGACTGTAGAACGCTGGTCTAAAACAGATGTTACACTTCCTACTTCCAAACAGGCACAGAAACGGCAACAGCCGAAGCAACGCCAAAAATCAAATAAGAAGAATGTGAAGAAACCACCAGCCTATGCACCCTACCTTGACACCAAACCCAAGGGGGAGGCCCTTGAGACCTTGGTCACGGAGGAAGACCCCGTGCCCAAGTTTGTCAAGAAATGTATAGAGTTCATCGATAGAGAAGGTCAGTTGAATTTTTAGCTCTTTGTTTTCTGTACAGGTATGCAACTTTTCCTCGGATAAGCTGATTTCCTTGTTGTTTACTTCTCATGAATGCCATTACAAATTGAAAATACCATACAAAGTCTTGTGTGTTTTGGAATTTGCTGGTTTGTTTTGTAAATTCCCAGTTGCGTGCCTGTCTGTAGCTCAAAATTTCTAAAGAAACATGAGATGTTTAGAAACCATGGCTTCATCTCCACTTTCGTCTTCATCTCAAGAATACTTCGTTCAAACCTAAATGAAAATACATGAGCCATTGGCCTTGTGTGTCCAACTTTGGTCTTAAAGGGAATATACATCATTTGCTTTTGCTGTAATTTTCAGAAATGGATGGAATTGGGGGGTTGGAAATATATAGCAAATATAGTTACACTGACTTTTTTGGGGTTTTGGGTTCGAAAAAGCTATAAAAACCAAGAAAAACGATCATTTTCCTGTAGTCTGGTTCCCTGACTCCATATAAGAAGAAACAGAGCAGTTTACATACACTGGGGAATTGTAAGGTCAGGGAACCAGTCTAGCTGGCTCGTACCCGTTCATAGGTTTGTAATCGATTGCAAACAAGTGCGATGGTCAATTGGGGCCAGTATTTGAAAAAAAAAGCCAGTTGTTTCCAACGCTGATCGGCCGATCAGCGTTGGAAATTGATACAAAAATACCACTTTTCTTGAAAATGGCAGTATACCAGGTGCCATGATTTTACAGGATGCTTTACACTGTCATTCACTAACAGTCCAGCAAGGTATTTCAAAATGATTTGGTAGTTTTATTTTTTGATGTTTGCAAATGTTGTATTTTCCCTTTAAAAGCAGAAAAAGGGACCAATACTGGAGTCTGACAAGTTAGGGACTAAAAACGGTCTGTTGTTGAGATCTTCTTAACCCCTTGTGGTTTCCATACAGGGGTCGGTCAAGAGGGTATCTACAGAGTATCGGGGAAGCAGGCTGATTGTGATGCACTCACGGTAATGTTCAAGGAAGGTAAGAGCAAAGTATATCAGGAAGGTAAGGGTAAAATATATCAGGAAGTTAAGGGTAAAATATATCAAGAAGGTCAGAGTAAAATATATTAGGAAGGTAAGGGTATAATATATCAGGAAGGTAAGAGTAAAATAGATCAAGAAGGTAAGAGTAAAATATATCAGCAAGGTAAGGGTATAATATATCAGGAAGGTAAGAGTAAAATAGATCAAGAAGGTAAGAGTAAAATATATTAGGAAGGTAAGGGTATAATATATCAGGAAGGTAAGAGTAAAATAGATCAAGAAGGTAAGAGTAAAATATATCAGCAAGGTAAGAGTAAAATATATCAGAAAGGTAAGAGTACAATATATCAGAAAGGAAAGAGTAAAATATATTACGAATGTAAGATTTAAATATTTTAGGAGGTAAGAGTAAAATATATCAGGAAGGTAACAGTAAAATATATAATATGGACAAATATTGCATGGTGAAATAACTGTCATAGACAATGATACTCCAATGAATGGTACCAGGCGTCAAATATCCGGCCTCTTTACTATCCTAGATCCGAACATCTCCATTGAAGCTCTTGATATTTCCTGTCATGCCGTCGCTTCGGCCGTCAAGGCATTCTTCAAGAATCTTCCAGACCCTCTCATACCCCGAGAACAGCAGGCCGAGCTCCTCCAAATGTTTAAAGGTCGGTTGAGCAATTTATTTTTTCCTTTTGAATTTTTTTTTTTATTATTTTTTTTCCAATTTCCTTGTTTCAAATTTTTTTAAAAGTTGAACAACAAAATTACACACAGATATTGAACAAAGATAAGGACATTGACAAAATTGGAAACTGCCAACATTATATAGGGCTGGATAGCTAAGTTTGTAAAGCACTGGAACAGCAATCCGGAGGTTGCAGGTTCCAACCCCGCTCCAGTCAATTTCTTTGTTCGACTTTAATGCACCTAGTCAGTTTCCCTTTTGTGGTTTATTTGAACTTAGAAAAAAATTGCGTTACAATTATTTTTTCCGTGGTTCTTTGCCTATGTAGGAAAAAGCACAGCGGATTTCCTAGATGCAATGCCTGAATTCTTCAACAAGCTATCGCCAATCAGGCTAGCCACTCTCAGATACCTTATGCAGCATTTTGGCAGGTATGTCGTCTGGGCCCAGTATCAGTGAGCTGTTACATATTTGGCCCAATTTTCTTCTTTTTTTCAGTATTTTATTTTTTAACAATTGACTTCCTTGGAAAAATGTGTCGATCTTAAACCAATTTTGTATCACTATTCGGCCTATAATGTTGCGAAGTACAGAAAATCAAATCAAATGGGACTGTTTTCACATTGATTGAAATCTTCCTAATCAATTTTTTTTGGGTGACTTTTTTTGCCCCTTCAAACCTCTCAGGGTAAGTGCCAACAGTGAGGTGAACAAGATGGCCGCCCAGAACCTGACCGTCTGCTGGTGGCCCACCCTCCTGCATCCCGAGTTCAAAAGTCTGGAAGAGGTTGCCAATGAGTCTCAGCTGTCGGCGTTCGTTGAGCAGTGGGTCCAGCACTCCGAGAAGCTCTTTGGAGTTACCAATGCCTGTCCTGAGCCTGAGACCGAGACCGAGGCTGTCGAAACGGAGGGCGTGGAGTGGCAGCAAGAGGCACCAGAACAGGCGATACCGGAGGATCCGATGTATGCCGCGGTGCAGCCCAGAGCTAATGCCGAGGTCATTTAAGTTGACCTTTGACCCTTAGAGGTCATTTAATGTGGCATTTGACCCCTAGAGGTCATTGAGCCTTGGGTGTTGGACATTTGCAACCCACAAGTTGACCCAGGTTTGGAGTAGCTTGGCTGTCTCTAGAGGTCATTCAGCATGACCTGTGAACATTCAAGGTCATAACTGACCAAGTGCCATGACCTTTGACCCACAGGTAGCATGTACTGACCTTTATTGCTGCAAGGACATTCAGTATGACCTTTGACCTATTGAGGTCAAAACTGGGACTGAGTGACGTGATCTCTGATGACCTTTGTTGCTGTAAAATGACCTCCGGTGACCTTAGATTTCCCGAGGTCAACTAGGATGACCTCTAAAGCTTCAGCAGTGAACCTGTGTGGACAATAACTGCATTGATGCAGTGCCGTTTGTCAGCACTGCATTAAAAAAAAATGACTGCATGTTTTTTTTCAACCGACAACACCAGAAGTCTCTTCGAAAATAATCTCCAAAGGAGTAATGTGCTGCATATACCCCATCTCCCAATAGCAACTTTTAACGTCTTCACTAAAGCCTGAATTTTTGTGGTAATTTATGTAATATTCATCCCGGTTTGTTTACTACTTTTAAAAAATGGAACTGCAGTCTGCAATACTGAAACTCCAAAGTACTCAAACTCCAAATGACGTCGCACCAAAGTGGATTGATCTTATTACATCGAGATGCAAGATGTTGTAAACGGAAAGCAGTGTGTGTCCTTCACATGCTCTCGTCGTTACACAGCGCCCTCTATTGTTGAACCACAGTGATGTCATGGAAGTGTCTTCCACAGCGGACTAATCGAGAAGTTAAGAAGGAATTGCTACGTCCAAGGTGCTTCAGGTTTGCACTTCAATGCTGCAGTGAATTGCGATATGTTAATTGAACAACATCAGTGTAACCCCTTAATACTGGAAATTAAGATCTGAAATCTTGCTTCAAGGGAAAATACAACATTTGCAAACATCAAAAAATAAAACTACCAAATCATTTTGAAATACCTTGCTGGACTGTTAGTGAATGACAGTGTAAAGCATCCTGTAAAATCATGGCACCTGGTGTACTGTCATTTTCAAGAAAAGTGGTATTTTTGTATCAATTTCAAACGCTGATCGGCCGACAAGTGTTGGAAAAAACTTTTTTTTTTCAAATACTGGCCCCAGTTGACCATCGCACTTGTTTGCAATCGATTACACACCTATGAACGGGTACAAGCCAGCTAGACTGTTTCCCTGACCTTACAATTCCCCAATGTATGTAAACTGCTCTGTTTCTTCTTAAATGGAGACAGGGAACCAGACTACAGGAAAATGATTGTTTTTCTTGGTTTTTATAGCATTTTCGAACCCAAAACCTCAAAAAAGTCAGTGTAACTATATTTGCTATATATTTCCAAGCCCCCAATTCCATCCATTTCTGAAAATTACAGCAAAAGCAAATGATGTATATTCCCTTTAACGATCCTCCAAGTTGGCCATCTATTAGACTCCTTTGTCATTGTACCACTAAGCGCTTAATGAACTAGCTTAGCGCAGAAGACTGATCCTTCGCAGCCTATGGAGTGATCAGCTTATGATGCAAACTTGGTTTGATGCCGTCAGCAAATTGGAATCTGATTGGTCCTGGCAGGTCACCTGACAAGTCATGTGATGCCTCTTCAAGCCAATCCAACAGAGACTGCCCGAAACTGGTGAAAACGGACGGTTGATTAAAATAAAAAAAAGTCTTTTGTTATTGTATATAAAGTATTAAAATTGCTAGTCGCTATTTTTCAAAATCCTCTTGAATACAGTACTCACCGAAAGTAATATTTGTATGTTGTATGAAAAGAAGTTTAACCCGTATTGAGCACGGTTAGACTTTATTAAAAAGTTTTTTTTGTAGTATGCTGTGTACATGTAGCTGCTGGACTGATGAATTGCCAGGGGGGGAAGGTGAAGTAGCTGATACATTGCCAGAGGGAGGCAAGGCAGCTGGTTCTTTATACGATTTCTCGCGGTTGTAATATAACGAAAAAGGTGGTTTTTTGTGTATCGAGAAAATAAGGTTGAAAAAAGTAAGGTATAAAAATGAGTAGAATTATGTATTAACTTTAAAACATAATGGTGCAGGCTTTTTTTATGTTCATGCAAAAAAAATCTTTCATTCTTTATGAATATTAATGAAATGTAAATCTGATTATGCATATTTAACACTTGTGGGCGTGGCTTCCTTCAATTTAAATGAATTTGAATGAATCATAAATCTATTACACCTACAAGCTTTTTTTTAAGAGGAGTATCTAGCTTTTTTCATGGAGAAAACTCTCTACATGTAAAGATTGATGAGTGTACTCTGCGAATAAATGTTTATAAATAATATTCACATTTTGCAGGTAAAAGTACCTATGAAAAGGTTTTATCTGTGAACACACTTTTGGGTAGAATTTTTTTTCTTCTAAATTGAACATGCAGTGTGTCTGAATAATAAGTGCTTGAACAGCGCAAGACTCCCGTGGTGACTACAAAACCATATACTCAGAGAAATACTTAAAATGATTACATGTATATGTTAACCAAAATGATGAATATTCATATCAATTTAAGAAAGCTAGCATAATTTGCATACCCAGTCTATGAATAATTCATATGCAGCCAGAAGCAGCGTGGTTGACTGTTTGCATACGCTTAAGCAAAGAGTGGTAAGATGGACATTTTCTCCCCACGTAATTTCATATTAAAAGTACTCTAGATATTAAAGATACAACTGTGAAAGGTAACAACCTATAATCTGAAATGGGTTAACAATTAGAATTAGAAAAACAGCTTGTATTGTTTAGCCCTTTTGTACGTTATCAACTGTTGAACATATTATTCAAATTTCTCACCTGAAAGGGAGCCCCAAATTCTTGCATTCTCTGATATATTCTTTTATTTGTTTTATTTTCTTTTTCGCTGACACATCAGTGGACACTTCAGTTCGAATCCCAGAAACTCTCGTCTTTCATGTCCAAAAAAGACAAGAAAAGAACTTTCAACCAGGTCTTCAAGTTCGTTCTTTCACTGACATTTTTCTTTCGCTATTTACACGTACACAACTTTCAGATACATCAACAAGTAAGCCACTGTGGTTATAAATGATTGCATTTATTTTGCAGGTGTTGATTTTTATACCAAAATAAATAAATAAGGGCGCTAATTAAAAATACTATTAGACTAGTAACGCTCACATGGTAACACTGTCCGAAGAATGACCAAGTCCCCAACGAAAATGATTTTCTGGTAAAATTTGAGATCTTTGGTCATTGAAACAATTTTTAAAAAAGTCCCTTTGCACTGTTAATAGCTGATGATAAATGTCTATGGTCCTGATTTAGTGATGTAGTTCACAATCTCAAAATACTTCAAGAAGTTGGTGCACGGAATGATCCAAATGGTATGGAACACTACAATGTTTTAATTGTGTTCCAACAATATATACCCCGACAAAAATGCAAACATTTCTTTTGAATAAACACTTTCATTTTTTTATACCAGTTTTCTTGCTTTGTGTATATAAGGTGAATTAATGACTTTCTAGTGTGTTAGTTTCCGTAAAAGTTGTAAAAACTTGAATGCAATGTTGAAATATAATTAAGAGAACAGAAAATAGAACGAAGACCTGAATCATAGTGATATCCTGCTTTGTTGAAATGTGCGCTTTCTTAGGGCCCCATCTCAATTCATATCTGGGATGAGTTCCAGAAAGGTTGTGTACATTGTAGCGGGTTTAAGTTACAGGATTCTGAACAACTTCCCCGCAATCTTCCCGCAATGAAGTTATCAGTATTGGTGAGTCAAGCAGTTGCTGATGAAAATTTCCCCGGAACACGTCCGGGGACAAATGCCGAGCTTCTTCCCAACAAAGTGAATGATTCTACCCACAACTTGTCCGGAACTCGTCTCGGCTATGAATTGAGACGGGCCCCATATGAGAGCACACATGTAAAAAAAAAAGCGAGACATCATATGATTCACGTCTGTTCCTGCAACAAAGTTTCAAAAGTAGCAGAAAGAATTTTAATATAAATTCAGGTAGTCAAACTCCAATAACAAACGAGTGTAGCTGTTCATGTGGGAAAAAATGTTCCGAGGTCGGAACCAGTCTACTGAAAGTCACTGGTTTCCCGCAACTGTTTCAGCACTATGAAATGCAGAGTGGTAACCAGTTATATGTAGTTAGGGGACCAGTCTTTAAATATATATTTGTGTTTTAAAAACTTGCCTTTTTTATGTAAGTTTCTTAGGGTGGTGGTTGGGCCGTGTACAGTATCATATTTTTCTTGAGCGTAAAATGAAAATTGTACAACACGTAAAAATGCAGTTTCACACGACAAAATCTTGAATGATTCGTATAGATTAAACCGTCTACTTATGCTGGCAGACTGAAAAAAAAGTCTTCTTTAAATACAAAAAAAGTTATTATTAAAAGAAATACTGAGACTTCTATAATTCCTTTGCATCAGTGGATTGTGTTTGATTTCATTGTGTTTGTATTCTCTACAAAATGGTACAAACGTTTGTTTTTAGATTTTAGTAAATATGCAGAACAAGACTTTTTCTTGTATTTTATTTGTACCCTCTATAATTGTGCATGCCTGCTGTGGATCATTTACCCAGAGGGAAAATCATGAATTTTTGGAATTCTGAAATGACTTGTTATTCCAATGTATGATATGCTCATAATGCAAACCTTATTACCCACAATGCATCAGCATTGTTAAGTTTCTTTTAAAACCGGTTCATTCATGTGACGTCATGTCAACTTAAACCACGTGTACTTTAAATGGTCTAGCAAAGCGCGAATAGAACCGGAAGTTAACGCAACTTGAGTGTTAAGCCAATGGGCGCTAGTAACCAGTGGTGCGCGCGCGTGTATGACGTTTTTACTAACGAACCGAATAGGAATGTGCAATATGCAGAGAAAACACTGCTATACAACACTATAATGTTGTCCGTAATACATATACAAGCCATAGATGTTAACCACATTTTCCGAAAGGTTCCAGCATATTTTGGCAGTGTCATCAGGTGTGATCATCCAGGTCACAATATCAAAGCTCGTATCCACTTTTAGAGCCACACTTTTGAATTCTGTGCATTGGTATCTACATGCTAGGTCATGATGTCAAAGGTCAGAGTTCATTATCAGCTCTGTAACCGCTCCTGTAAACTTTCTTTGCAGTGATGTCTTTGTGCTAGGTCATGTCAAAGTTCACCCAACATTGTTTTATCATCACTACCCCCTAGCAATTTGCTACGCCGCCCTCGCCACCCACAGAGCACAGGTGCTGATATTTCATGCGGTTCCGTGTCACAGGTCAAAGTTGAGAGTTCACGTCTCAGCTCTGTGTGGGTTCTATTGCACTGTGTAACCTCTGTATGGCCGTGTTGATCATCTGAAACATAGACTTGTCCTCAGTCTTCACTTCCTGTGGGACAAACCAGAAACAGAAAATATCAAATATTTAAAATATGCATTTTGCCCGATTTTGCTCCTTGGCTGAAAAATTGACTTTGCTTACAAAATTTGGTTAAAAGAGATGAGATTGTCAATTTAAAAAAGGGTCTGAAAGATGCCTTTCTTTCTATGATGATTTTTCTCTCGGATTCAAAAAGTCTGATTTCAGGCAAAAGTATGCAAAATCTCAAGCCTGATTTTCAGAAGAATCCTATTCTTCAAAATTTGTTTTCTATTTGTGTGTGTGTGTGTGTGTGTTGGGGGGGGGGGGTTCAACATCTAAACAGGGCCAACTTCATATAAAATTCAGATGACCTGCAAATTTGCTTTGCAAAAAACGCAACAGTGTCTTGCAATGCACACTGGTTTTGAATATTCTCAGGCAATAGCTGCTAAGCACGAAGGTCCTCTGCTTAGTAGAAATGTAGCTTCTTTGCTTACCAGTAATTCTGTGTTAATCTGGGCCTCCCTGCCCTCGATGCTGACCGTTATCACGTCGGTTTTGTCGTCGTGGGTCACGGCTGTCGAGCCGAACGTGTCCTCTAGAAGTCGGGTCAGTCGCTGGCTGAACTGGTCAATGTCGTTCTTGGGCGGGATGTGCTTGACTGGGATGGGAATGTAATGTATGCAAATTTATTCATTAGGACTGGGACTATGATATGCAAATGTATTCATGAGTGGGATGGGAACATAACGTATGCAAATTTACTCAAGACAGACGGGAACATAATTATGTACACAATTTTGTTCATAAGAAATTAACACAAACTTTAATAGGAAAATTGATGGACTTTTAATATCAATAACATTCGTGGCATATTTTCTATATGAGTTGTCTTTTGTGGCAGTACTGCTTGACTCAATTAGACTGCAAACAGGCCGTAATCAAAAAATAGTTTAATTTTAATTATTAAAAATGACAGAATTTCCAGTTCTTTATTCACTTACGCTTTTGTGCGTTTGGATCTGTTGAAACCTTGACGACCACCGCCATCACGGCATCTGCGTACATGTCATTGACGGCATTCGCAACCCACTAAAAAAATATAAAAGAGGTTAAAGAACGTCAATCAATTTTCTATCGGTTTCATTCATAATACACTTTTTGATAATCTTCGGCATGCATTTTATCTTAAAGTGTCCATACCCTTAAACACATACCTATTTATACCCAAATGTAGCCCATTTGCACGCAATGCCATGCACAACTGCCTCTCTGATAACCCTACCCTTGATAGCAGGGCACCCATTTACACCCATTTGTACCCACTTTATACCCTTTTATACCCATTCACACCCAGTGAATGCCATGTACACCTGCCTCTTTGATAACCCTACCCTTGATTGCAGGGTACCCATTTACACCCATTTGTACCCACTTTATGCCCTTTTATACCCATTCACACCCAGTGAATGCCATGTACACCTGCCTCTTTGATAACCCTACCCTTGATTGCAGGGTACCCATTTACACCCATTTGTACCCACTTTCTACCCTTTTATACCCATTCACACCCAGTGAATGCCATGTACACCTGCCTCTTTGATAACCCTACCCTTGATTGCAGGGCACCCATTTACGCCCATTTGTACCTACTTTCTCCCCAGTGAATGTCACCCACACCTACCTCTAAGGTGACCATTCCCTTAGCCGGTTCATGCACAATCGTGACAGCATTGAAGATCCTTAACGCCGGTTTGTTGTACACCTCGACATACTCCACGTCTCCCGAAAGCTGTGTCAGATAATGAGTCAGGAGGGACAAAGGTGCGGTGTAGGCGACGCTCAGCCGCTGGGTGAGGGTACCGACGGCCAGGTCCGTATACTCGGCGAGATCGCTGGGTGCCATGATGTGATAGTTGAAGTTACGCTTGACCAGGACGCCGGACAGACGGTGGTCTTTGGTGGGCTTGCTGGCTGCTAGGCTACCCATGACCTGAGGGGAGGGATGTTAGGAGGTTTATCATTGCTCTACTACATCCTTTGAAACATCATTTTTGTAATCGAGATACTTATGATGGATCTTGTGAAGAATTGTGAGGACTTGTGATGACTTGCAAGGACGAGTGAGGACTTTTTAGGACTTGTGAGGACTTGTGAAGAATTGTGAAGACAAATGATGTAGTACTAGTTAGTAATTGTGAGGACCTGTGAGGACTTGTGAGGGACTTATGAAGACTTGCGAGGACTTGCAAAGACTTGTGCTGACATATGATGGAATTGTCAGCACCTGTAAGGACTTGTGAGGACCTATGAGGATTTGTAATGGCCTTGTGGTGACTTATAAAGATTGCGAGGACATGTAAGGAAGACTTGTGAGGACTTGCAAAGACTTGTGAGGACATATGATGGAATTGTGAGCACATGTAAGGACTTGTGAGGACCTATCAGAACTTGTAATGGACTTGTGGTGACTTATAAGGATTGTGAGGACTTCTGAGGACCTGTAAGGACTTGTGAGGACTTTCAAGGACTTGTGAGGACTCTTGATAGGCTTGACTACAACACTGGACGTGGCCCTACCTTTGCCATCTTCTCTCCTCTGAAGTACAGCTCCACAGCTTGCGTTATTCTAGGGTTGTGGATCTGGATGTGCGATTCCTCATCGTCCTCGTACTCTCTCAAGAGGGCAGTCTTCAATCGCAGCATCTCATTGCCTTCGCCGTGGACCAGAACCTGCATGGTAAATAACGAGGATAGAACCAAAACTGTGTCATTCGAAATTAGGCTGATATGGGAACAATATTTCTTCAATTGACAATGTGTGACTTTTGCCATAAAAGTACTTTTCTTGCCTCATTTGTGATATGAGATTTGAAGGATTGCATGGTGGAAAGATACTAAGACAAGATAAGTTTGCGGTAGCACCATGTGAATAAATCTCTTTTGTGAGTATGTGTGGTTCTGAAAAGAACCGGAGGGACTCTGGTTCTTTTCAGAACCACACATACTCACAAAAGAGATTTATTCACATGGTGCTACCGCAAACTTATCTTGTCTCATTTGTAATCAAAGCATCCAAACATTTTTGCCTTCCAACCTTTGATTTTGTTTCACCTGTGGTATTCAATGAGATTATTACAGTCCCTTAATTCAGTATGTTTTAGCACTTAGCGCTATATGCAGGCGTAAATAAAACTTGGCATGTGTGATTTTATGACAGAAAAAAAAGTTTCAAACTCACGATGTGTGGGGGTTTGAGTGCCCGGATGAACTCGCTTGTCTGCTCGTAGTCTGTGTGAGCTGAGAAGGAGATGTAGTCGACAGACATCTTCAGCGGCAGTTTCTGGCCGTTCATCGTTGTGACTTCCTCCGGCGATTGCATGATGGTCTAAAAAGTACAACGGCAAGAAATGTAAGCAGGGGTCTTGAAACTGCCATTTTTTAGATTGTAGGAATATCTGGTAAGCTTGTTAAACAAGAAACAATGTAAAATCCAAAAAGAAATTTGAGTTTTTGTCCTACCTTAGCCAGTGTTCCTTCTACACAGTAGCCAGCGATGATCACACCGTTGCGTCGGTCTGTGCACCAGTTCTCGAACAGCTCCCGAGATAGGCCGCTCTGCATCATACCAGGACTCGCCATGACAACGGAGGGTCCAACGTCGTCAAAGTGATCCATGCCTCGAAGATTGGAGATGTGCTTGAAGACAAAGGGGTTGCTGATGGCAATCTGGGGAAAACAAGAAGCAAAAAAAAATCATAAAATAAAAGAAAGGTTAATTTTTATAATGGTGAATAATTCACAAGCTACACCAGTGGGACTCGAACCCATAACCTCCCCCTTACAGGTGAAGATATCTTGGCTGAAGTAAAATGCTTCAAACAGAAGCAGCTTGTTTCTACCTGTCGTCTGATTTTCTCATTCATGGCGTTGATGTAGGTCTGGTAGACGGACATACACTTCTTAGCGAGGGAGGAAGCGTAGTAAACCGGAATGTCATGAAGCTCAGGATGGTTGGCCCAGTATTCATCTAACAAGCCAAAAACAAAAGGAAGCCAAATTTAAACAATATTTGTGATGCGATCAAGCTAAATGAGTCGTTTGTCAACCCCGGTCAAATTTTTTTATTACAGATTTGAAAAGAGCACAATCTCAGCATTACTGCTGTGAAAACCGCATGCTGATACCATCTCTAGTTCAAAAATTAAGGAAGTCAGATCACCAAGTGATGTGATGAAGTGGCCCTATTTTGGCCTGTATCTCCAAATGAAAATTCCCGACAACCGACTCATGTACACATCACATTTTCTTCAAAAGCCCGATGACAGTTGTGGAGAGACGATAATGAAAAATATTTGCAAAAAGAGGAATAGTTCTAACAATTTTTCGGGAGAAACAGTCAGGTGGGGCCTTAAATGCAGTGTACATGCCAGCTTGGATCGCAGGGTTTGAAGGTGAGGGAAGCACCATTGTCTCAACCCACGTTTAACGACAGAATGACGACAATCTTACCCAGAATCAAAAGCAGTTCTTGTGCGCGTCCCAGCGCAAAGACGGGGATCAGACAGCGCCCTCCTCTGTTGACGATATCATGGACCGTTCCCGTGAAGCGCGCCTCCCTCTCATCCCGTTTCTCGTGGATGTGGGTGCCGTATGTCGATTCCTACAGGAATGAGTGAATAATGACTCAATGGCTTGGTGCAAGGACGCGGAAGGGCGCTCTACCTCAATCACCATAAATTTGCATAAATTATGCATAAATGTAACGTGAATGATCACACAGTACCATAAATAATCATAAATGGGAAAATTTTTTTAAAACACTAACGTCATGAATTAGTTTAAATTTGCATATTTTAGCATAAATTAACAGGCTATCGTGCAGCATAGTACTTACCATGATGAGAACGTCTGGTTTGATGTTTGGGATCTCAGCAGCCATAAGATGTCTGTCTTCCTGCCTGGAAAAATCTCCCGTATACAAAATCTACAAGCAAGAACCGAACATGAGACCAATTACATGTACTTCAAAATTCCAATTTAGGATATAATACAATTTTCCCATCTTGTTGTTTTATTCGTGCAATACAGCTCATCAAGTTTTTTATGAGGTGAACTTACTGATATTTGTTATGAGATTCATTTAGATAATCCTACAGCAACTTTTAAATGCACTTTAACGGATAATATTTGTTTTTTTTAGAACTCAACATTAAATATTTTGGTCACTAGCCAGCCGGGCTACTGAAACAGACTCTTAACTAGCCCGCGGGCACTTTCACTAGCCCGCATGTTTTTCTTTTGTAGAGTGTACAGATTTGCTTTCTGAATTTAATGAGTTATTTCTTCCTGTCCTTACATCTTTGCCGTAGCCCAATCATTTCTGCCTCGCCAGCCGGACTACTTAAGGAATAGTTTGACTAGCCCGCAGCTGTTTTGACTAGCATTTGGCTAGCGGGCTAAAGTCGAACCCTGGTTTTAGATTAACAATTGATAATCTGTATCTTTAGAAGTGAAGCTGTATTTTCTTATTAATTTAATTGGTTCCTAATTATTACAAATTTGTAGTCACTTTGTTGATATTTACCTTGACTCCTGCAATCTCTATCATGAACATTGCGGCTCCCAACACGTGTCCAGCATTGTAACACCAGAACTTGACCCCGCTAGCTTCGATCTCTTGATGGAAATTGATGGTCTCGATACGATCCATGCTGTTCTGTAGGTCGTTTTCTGTGTACAACATCTTCTCAGCGGAGATGTTACTGTATGGGAAAACCATAAAAAAAGAGAATCTAAAGATGTTGGAAATTCCTATTATCAGAGGGCACATACTTCAGACGTGGGATCATGTCTAAAGTCACGTAAGACACAACGATGCAATTACAGCATTATGTAATGTCTGTAACAGAGCTTCTAAGAGCTCAGTGAATAAACCTGAAAATGTAGTTCTCAAATCTGATACATCCATCATCTAGTAATGGTCAAGGAGATTACAGACTAGGAGTTTGGGATCATTTCTCTGAATCATTAATTAGATATCATGGTTAATTGGCTCCGTCACGGACATTACACTTCCTTTCATAAACGCTGGAATTGCCCGACAGTAAAAATATATTGCTGCAAGCCCGGGAAATGGCAGACACGATTGTATCTTCAGTTCCTTTTTTGTTCAGAAAATCACACGTTGGGATCCAACCCTACCTGACTTTGACATAATCGGACAGGAGCCAGCGATAGATGGCCTTCGTGGCATGCGTCATGAAGATCCGACCCTGAAATTTAGTCTTCTTCAGGAAGAATGGAAGAGCCCCGCTATGGTCCAAATGAAAACTACAAGAAAAAGAAAGAAAAAAATCAGCGTTTTTTAAGTAAAAGTTAATCAAATCACTTAGACACAAAGTCCGTCCTACAAATTTACGTTTTGTTATTCTCTACACTATTGTAATTTTATCTTTGATTTATTTTTAATTCTCAATTACTGTTTTTATCAGTTGTACATTTCCAGCATTTGAACAGGTTGTCTGTTCCATTACTTTTTATAAACCTGAATAAATAAAGAACACGTTCTCACTGGCTAATAAGCAACATGTCGATCTCTTCCGGCTCTATCATGTCGAAAAACGGCAGCGAATCCAGACCCTCCCTGCCTGGGTGAATGCCACAGTCCAACTGAAACAAAACAACATGGCAAAATGGAACGATCTATTATAATACAGGTACATGTATATAAAGTGGGCTCGTACCTCCTAAAATCCTCAAAATCCTACCACTCCTTGTGTTTTGGATATTAAGGGATTGAGAACATAAGTTGAATTCACATCAAATAAGTCAAAAAACGAAGCCTAAGGAAAGAATTATCATTATTTATGTGGAATACAGAAATTTGCACTCACCATGATTTTCTTGCCTTTAAATTCCAGCATAATGCATGACCGCCCTACTTCTTGCCCCGCCCCCCTGCAGGATAAGAAGAAACAAGACTGAGATAAGACGACAATGAACTGCGATCACAGGCACCTGTTTTTTGTGATCATTTTCCAGTCCAAATTGTTTTTATCAATATCATTCAAAAATATTTGATTTCAGCAACCTAAAGCAGACTTCTCTTATTAATTCCAATGACCCTATTTTTTGTAATCTTAGTTCAACACTTTCAGTACTCATATTTTCTAACGCATTTTACAGTTGATTCATGTGAATACGTCTTGCCGCAAATATCATACATGCAATCATACTCATTTTTACACCAAAATTCCCCCCCCCAAAAAAAAAACCTGCCCTCTATCCACAACACCCCTGTAGTGTTGGTTTTAAATGTTGATATCTAGTTTGGAAAGTTAAGGACGTCCAGTAGCCTTAAAACAGATTTTGTTCTCTAAAAAAAGTAACAGTGCCCGTATATTACTCTCCCAATCCCATGGCCATGCCCGCAATGCAATGTGGACTAAAGTTGCATGTATACTATTCCGCTATTAACCAGTTGTGATATTTCCCTATTCTGTAAATCAGACAATTAATTTCATTGATCAGCCTTCACAAAATTAACAAAAAAATCATCAGATATGTTATTCAATTATCGCTTTTTATCTTCGGTCTACGAAATGTTACATACAGCGGCCGAATGATCAGCCGATCGCTTTCTTCTGCGGGGACTTGCGTTTCGCTTCTTCTCTTGGTCGCCATTTTGGTAATCCGCGCGCGTGTGCATGGAAAATTGCGCCCTCCAGTGTTCAATATCGAACTTTATTATTATTATTTTTAATGTTGAACAAAGAAATTGACTGGAGCGGGGTTCGAACCTGCAACCTCCTGTTTCGTATAAGTTTCTGTGACAATGATTAATTTATTTAAATTGATCACACAAAAGGCCTACTTAACAATTAACCAAACAATCTTCCCGCGCCACCACATTTGGGGGGGGGGGGTTATGTTCTTGTTTTGGTTTGGGATTTCTGTGTGTGTGTGGGGGGGGGGGGGGGGGTACCTTTTGATTTCTTCAAACGGTAATTGTAATTCTTGATTCAAAATCTTAAAGTTGCTCTCCCCGTACTATTTTCGGGTATTTTCTAGCTTCACCTACCCCCCACCCCCCCCCCAAAAAAAATCATAAATTGCTATTTTTTTGCAGCAATACAAAAGTTATTGAATTGGGCATGAATTGAACAAAACAAAAACAAGTCCAACTTTTGTTATGGAATATTTACTTCACAAATTTCAAATCATTTTTATGGGTCAATTCAAGACGTGATCATTAAACATTAGGTCGATCCTTGCACTTGTTGTCATTGCGCGAGCAACAACACAAAGACAGCTTATAACATGTATGCTTCCGCCAACAGAAATTAGAGCGACTACTCTACTCTGGTATTTAACCTGATCGCTAGCCGCATTTTCCCACACCGCGCTCCGGCTCCGCCCGGCACACACACGGAGCAGAAAATGGCAAACGGGATTCATATCGTGTCGATGGGACTTCTCCTAGCGATGTCAAACCTCTACTGGGCTACCGTTTTGGGAGGTAAGGCAACTCTATACTTTTTTTTTGCAGCGTTTTGGGTGTGTTTTTGTGTGTGTTCGAGAACAAGCCTCACCCGTATGAGCGGCCTGCAAACATTATATCCCGCGTTCGAGTTAAACAAATAGACAGTACGGAATAGGAAAGAATGTTGCATCCTATGGCCCACTCAGTGATGACAGTCAGAATCAATCACTGCAAAAATATTCAAAAGGCATGAATCTGGGACTAAGAAACATTTCCAATTTGGTTAGAAAAAACCTTTAAGATGCACTCGACTCTCCTTAGACTTCGTACACAACCAAATAAGTGGCGTCTGGATACTACATTCTTTCTACGTCGGTAAAAACCAGGCAGTCCGGCTGAGTGAGGTGGACCGTGAATTAGGGTCCGCACAAAAAGAATCACCGTTGGAAATGCCTTCTTTCGTTGATTACTTCAAAATGACAGCTTCCCAGAAGGAATAATTTCACAGAGAGTTTAGTTCCCTTACTATCTTTCAACCAAGTTTGTTTTTCAACAATAATTACGCCAGTTACTTTTCGGATGGCTGCAAATGATGGACTATAGCTTTAACTCGAGATCTATAACAACTTACCGATACTGGAAATACCTTTGCTTGTCCGGATTCGAGGTTTGGAAAAAAACCACATTGTGCTAGCATGTCCTTTCAATAAATAAACAGGATGATGCACCAATTCATGAACCTGGTTGCGTCCGTTGAGTTCCCGGTCGGCGTCGAAGTTCAGTTCCGCTGGGCAAGTTGCAATGGGGAAGTACATGTACAGTTGATGGTTTATCACTCTTTTTTGCTTCCTCAGTATACAAAGAAGTGTAATAATATATTTGTATAACTTGCAAATCGACACCGCTTCCTTCGTAACTGGATGAGGCTTCGCAATCGTCGAGGCCGGGGAAAGCAGGTCATTCGTGCAACTTTCCAGCATTCGCGGGCACACACACTAGTTGCCTAACCTTAGGAACATGGGTTTAGATACCTTGTTTGATGCGATTGGACGCATTCTTGCGGAGATACAGATTGTAGTTAAATGTTAGATAATAGCAGATGCTTATTCGCATAATTATTACGCACAAAATCTACAACTTAGTCATTGAGAAATAGTCTTAATAAATTTGTTGTCCCCCAAACACGGTCTAGGCACCCCGATTAATACGTTTAGACGAAAACCTGCAGAGTTTATAGAAAACTTATATTTTACCATATGGCGGTAGCGTTTTTGCATATTTTACTGTTTAAAAAAAACAATGCTCAAATTAAGGGTGGCAAGGTGGCACCCGTCGGAATATCGATCTACAAGGTCTAAATGACAAGAAAATGCAGACATATTTTTTGCGGACCCTAATTCTCAGTCCACCTCCAAATTGGGGTGTGACAGCCGAACTATATGCCCACGTTTTCTGTTACTCCTTAAGATATTTCAGTAATTCGTTTTTCAAACATAAGACAGTCAGGGTCCCTAAATATGTTCACACACAAAAATCAAAAGTAAGCAGATAAGAAACGTATAATTCAACTCTTTGTTATAGTCTGATCTCCTGTTGTTTTTTTATTGTATTGTTAATTGTCTTGTAATACGTCACTTGTCTTTACTTTGTACATCTATGCTTAATTTCTATAACTAACTATAATTAGCCGTGATAGGGAAAGGGGGATAAACCTTTGGCTTCTCCTAGCCCTATTTTTTTGTTACATTAAAAAAACTAAGCTTTAATCCCTGACGATGTAAGAATCTTATACTGCCTATCTGTTTCTAAACGGAATCATTTAATGTCGACGTACTTTGTTTGAGTCGAATCTTCATGTTATGATCCTGAACTCCCACTTACAGCGGTCACGCAGTGTTTGCAATTTAATAATGAAATAACCCCGGCCCTGGTCATCCTTGACTGAACTAAAAAAAAAATGCATTGAAGTTAATCCATATGTTTGATTGAGATTTTAACGTCCTTTATTTGCGTATAGTCACTCGGGCGTTGCTGAGAGCTACCAGCTAAAAAAATACACCTGTTATACTCCGCAGGTACTACAGGTTTTTAGATTACCCTTTCATGGTAGGAACGTCCCGTACAAATTTCCTGGTTCCTATCATACTGTGTAAGCGGTGCATTCCATTATTTCACAGTAATTGCGAGGGTTTGAAGTTGTTGTTTTTTATATGTGTGTCAAGGCTAGAAATGTAATTTGATGCCAAAGCGCAATACTGAATCTTTGTTAGTTACACTTGAATCTGGCCATGACCATTTAGAAGAGCTAAAATTAATAACTGCTTGATTTTTTCTTTAATTCATTCGTTTACGCCTGATTGTCTACCCAGAGAACCTTGTAAGTTAATGGGTTTGTTTTTATTTTACTTTAGCACAGAGTTGTCCATATTTTGGATAAAGATAAACCGGTAGTCTATGAAGCGAACTGTACTTATACGTGTTGGAATGCAAGATAGCATACAGGGGTAAATTTGATCTCGATTTCGTGTAATATTATATGTAACAAAATGCCCACTTTTAAATGTACATGTAGACAAATTTTGTTTCGACAATACGACGTTTTGCCCAAAATTCAGCACAAACACAATTAAGGCCACGTGCAACTTAAGGATCTGGCTACAAACTCAAAATATATTAAAACAACACGAGAAACTGAGACTCATAGTTCACATATTTCTTGAATTGCGAAAGAGTTGAAGCAGATACGAGAGACAATAAGATTATTGGGTAATGCGTTCCATAGAGGCAGTACAAGGAACTGAAGGGATTGTGTGGATTCTTACGAATACATTTTTTTTCTTTCTTTATATACCCCGTATGTCTAATGCATGTACATAACCACTGCTCGAGTCTCCTTAACAGAAGGCAATTCTTTTCAAGGAGTATTATCTTTGTTCTTGTAAGTGAGCCATATCCAAATGTGTTTGCGTAAGTCCATCTGGAAGACCATGCATTCCACTTACCAGCTATTTAGGTTTGGCTTGGTATTTACACACATGTCTAATGTCTACGCTACAGCATCAAGGCAAATTTGAACATGTCCGCGTACACGTTTTCTCATGTATCGTCTTTCTTGCCGAAGTCACGAGTTGGCCGCGGTTGGCCGCGGTTGGCCGGGCTCACCAGACGTTATAGCGCACGAAGGCGTGCATGAAGACAAAGACATGGTAATGTATTCTCATGGCTGTCTCTGCTTGAAAATTAAGTTAGGCCCCGGAAACTATTTCATTCGTGTTTCTAAGAAAGCAACCCTAATTAAATTTGAAAAAAAGTGCATTTAGCCTACGGTTCAAAGGACACATACAACAAGAAAAACATTCGTGGATTTCAGGGACCTATACGAAGAGATAGTTTGATTTGCTCCTTTGCCAAAAATAATTTGAACATTTTTCTTTCATGAGATCATAATATCTTTGTTTTTGTAATGTTTTTATCGGGAAGCACACATGATTATGTTATGTTTGTTCAGTGCATGGTTTGGCTATTATTGATTTTTTTTCACGGCTGCACTTTGTGAAGTCGATGGGGGTAACAGTAGGATGTGATAAAGAACAAAAAAGAGCGGGGTTAACAATTTTTGAGGAGATTTATACTTGCACAAGTATTTTGCAACGACGTAATGAAAATGATAGGGTTGTAGCAATCAAGGGCGGATCCAGGGGGGGGGGGGGGCCTAAGGGGGCCATGCCCCCCCCCCCCCCCCAAACGAGACCAATTTTTTTTTTTATGTGACATCGCAATAAAGGCAGGCAATGAGTACACCACCATCTTTTCCTAAAAAAAACATTGGTTAAAGTGGTCAGAAATTGCCTCAGATCGCACCACAGAGCATCTAGAATCCAAAAAAAATTCGGGGCCCTTAAGCGGGCCCCGAACCCTATGCTGTAATTTTTGACCCACTTTTTGGGGGGTCCAAAAAATGTTTGGGCCCCCCCTAAAAAAATTGTGTTCTGGATCCGCCCTTGGTAGCAATAGGTTGCATTAAGCGCGCAAGGCAGGCAAACGAACAGGGACATTTCTTTGTAAAAATCAATTTCATTCAACATATGGGTTTGTATCGACCTGAATTGTACGCTTAGTCACCATGGCAATGAAGGTGAATGCGACCCAGATTTAAAGTAACTTTTTGCAAGGAGCAATTAGCCAAATTTCATTGCCCCAAGAGCTTTCGTCTGTGCATGGAATTCAGTGCGTTCTTTGTCACATTCGTTCATGAGCATCACCTTCGCCTACAAATTACAAAATCGGTTATTGCAATCCAATCATGCAGCTGAAGTTTAATTTATTAAAATTTCTTTTCTCTCAATCATGGCGCGAAAAGAGTATTTGTCTTCTAAGATTGTTCGGCGTTAAAGAAAAAGAATTTGAGATGTGTTCATCAATTCGGAAGGATTGTAGAGCAGTTGGTCTATTTGATAAGCGCACATTCTTGTATAATTTGAGCTTTCAAAGTGTTTGTCTCCGAAACTTTGCATAATTGTTTTTCACCGCAGTTTAATAATCATTATAATAATACTTAATTATAATAATCACTATTATTATTAATGGTACAAAAATTCAGCTGCATCCAGTGACCTTAATATTATTATTGTTTGGAGTAAACCTTGTCAACATATTATGATATCCATTTTTTTTATTTGCATGTCGTAATTTTTCTGTCTTCCAAAAAAACCACTCTGCCAATAAATTAGCAGAATGAGCCATTCGATATTGACAAATCGTGTTCAGTGTAACTTTAGTGCCTCCGATGTTTTTGCTCAAATACGCAGATTAAATTCATACCTGCGTGAGACAGATCTAGCATGTGATTCACACAAAAATGGCACGAACATTATAGGATGTACGGTACATCTATGATATCAGTGTCGGGACCCCACAAAATGGGACTTGTGGACAAAATGTTCACATTTACGTTTTCACACGCAGAAGCAGACAGAAAATTTGCACCTTATTTTAAATATATCTCTCAGTTTGAAACCTTAATTCATGCACATTATCATCTATATGAAAAGTGGGTTGTTTTTGCTGCGTTTATTGTGAAAAGTTCTGTTAAAAGGGCCTTTTACTATAAACTAGCTCTGGCGACTTGTGCCTCATTTTGTAAGATTGGGTCACATATTAAAATATTTGATGTGCTTGGTTGCGTAACAGCGCAAAACACAGACACTGTATTGCACCAAGGCTAACAGAAAGCTTTCACATGACTTCCTGTACTGAAATTACAAAATTAATGCATAAATTATGATGTGAAGGGAAGGACGGGGATTTTTACAGCCTATATTCGCTGACTGTGTATAGAATAATGAAGGTTTGTAATGCATGACCGGCTGTTGAGATCATAATTAGATCTCAGCAGGCCGACAAAGGGTTACATGAATATGAACAGAAATTTACAAGAAAGAACCGTTTTGGAGGATTTTTGTGTTGCAGTAATTTATAAAGATCGTCCCTTGTGCCCCGAACAAAAATCTTTCTTGTTTTGACGTCATCGGCAAAATGATGCATAGCTTGCCCGTCCCTTGGGATGAACACTTTATTGGTGAAACCCATCGAGTTCCCCTTTAAAAAATGAGGCCCCCTTAGTGCCCCTAAATTGGACCGCCGGTGGCCCCCTCTTGAAAATGAGGCCCTCAAGTGTCCTTGTATGGGCCTACATAACCCTAGTTACTTTGCATTGGTACGTGACTCTCATTTTTGTTGTAACCCCTTCCCATTTTGAATCAGGTTTTCTGGATTGCTTCGACCCAGTGACGCTGGAGTATCACGGCACGGCGTCTGTGGCTTACCCGAGGGTAGGGAGCATTGGGCCGTGTCTCCCCTGGGTAAATGTCACCGAACAGGGCTTCGATCATGCGGACTTCCCTCAGGCGGGTAGGTATAACAAACACGCACAGACACACACAGAATCGATTTGTCTCAATCGTCTTGTTTTACAGTGATTGGAATATCATTCGCCTTAGGCTAAAGAGACGCATGTGTGCAGATGTTTGCGGAATTTATTTCTTATGATAATTTGGATGTTCGAATCAACTTTCCCAATTGAATATGAATTGAAATTAGAAAACAATTAAAGCAGTGACTTCATTTTACCAAGACAATAAAACTAGTTTTGTTTCAAGCATTTTACCTGCAGGCAGTTAAAACAACTAAAAATGTATTTGGTTTGCTATTGTTTTAGCACTAAACTATGATGCACACGAAATGTTAAACTGACGTCTGTGTAATTCGCCTGGTTTCAGCAACTCAACAACAAACTCTTAAAACAGCTCGATATTCACCTTATTTTCTATTCAAAGAGGTTTTCCACGCTCAAGAAAAACCGACAAATAACAAAAACCAGTTTTTCGTTTTACTTGGAAATATTGAGTGCCTCATTCCAGTCCAAGCAAATGTGTATTTTCACTTAATTACCGGTCGCTAATGCATCACCTGGAGTCAAGACTAGCATTTGCATTCTGAAATAGACTCACAAAAACCAGCAGTTATCAAAGATCAAATCACCACATCAGCCTTCTTGCACACTGATTAAAACAGCAGCCGCCATAATGCGTATGCTTGCAGTTTTATTGAAACAGATGTTCGCAGTTGTGCCGAGCGTTATTCAAATTAAAATCATTCCTGTGGAATGACTTGCAAATGGGCGCCCGATTTAAAAGTTGCTTTGCAAATTTCTAAGCCCGTGGTACGTAGGCTACGCCCCCCTCCCCCAAAAAAATGTTGACAAGAAATCGCCGCTCCTGCAGGTGTTTGAGACCAGATACCGACGAAAACACCTAACGAAAAGACTCATTTTACACGCTCGCCTGTCCTAGAAAGATCACCTTCCCTCCCGCTAGCCCCGGGCACCATATATCAAGATGCAACCAACTGCTTCATTCGATCTTCTCTCAAATCCAATCCCGTTTAAATCACAAAAGCCAAGGTTCATGAGCTGCACGATCACATCTTTGGCCCAAATCACCGGATATTACGCCGATTCTGTGTGTGGGTTGTGGATGTGTGTCCCTCTGGCACGACGTACGGCAATCAAAAGAGGTCATTATTCAATCTACCTTGTCGATTGAGGTTGACATGTACGAAGAGTCTCTATCGAGACCTGTTAAGATTTTAATAGTTGCGGAGATACAAGGCGTTTTTAGGTTTGTGGGTCAAAGTTAAGCTGAAACCGCTTGTAGCTAACGTGTGGAAATCGAGTTAAACGCCGCTTAAATCCTATTTAACTTGTACAAAATAGGTGACAATAAGCCTAAGTCTTTTCTCTCGTCTAAAATTCTACCCTTGTGGATGTGCAGAATAAATACGAGAAGAATTGGTTTCACAGGTATTAGGTCTGCCTTTGTGCCTATTTTACCGCAAAAGAGTTGCAACGCATACGCCAAAAGATCTTTTGACCTGTGCTCCATTTCTTGAGAAATGTGGCACAAAAAATGCTTGGCATATTTACTTGCTGAGAAATATTGGCAAGGAACAGTTCAAGCAATAAATGTCACACATGACACTTTGCAAAATAAATTAGGGAGAGTTTACTATTGTCATTTGCACGGACGAAGATGCTGCAAGAATTTAGGGGTGCGTATACGGGTAGTACGGGAACCGGGTATCTGATTGGAAAAAAACCGCTGGTACTCAGGGACCTGTTTAAGAAACGCAACCCCAAATTTCAAATCTCGGATGTTGATGTCCAGATTTGTTTATAAAAGTCCGCACGGTAACACTGCCACATCCGATCGGCGCGTCAATACAGCAAGGTACAAGTGTACATAGTGAGCTTTAAAGCTTTATGGTGAACTTTCGCGAATGTGGTGAACATGAAATATGTTTTGTTTTCCCATGTTGCCTGGTTTTCATTTTGAAACATTTCCCGCCAGAATTGACATTCCAAACCTTCTTTTTCATTGTCTGAGAAATCACTAAGTAATTTGTAAAGTTGGTTTATAAGGGTACCGGTGTCATATGAAAATCGGACTCGTATGAAAATCGGACTCTTTTTCCCTTTTATTGGTTAAACCCTCTCACGTGACCGGTCCCTCTCCAAATTATCTATGCATGAGCATGCGCAATACCACCAATGAGTCGTATTTCATAAAGCCTAAATTCATGCTACACCGGATCCCATAATCTGGAACCGGTTCCTGACATCAGCGGTCGGGTACACGGATACCCGATTCCGATTTTAGAGCCCCGACCAGAAACATCTCCATCGATCGAAGCCGTCAAGGCGATCCCCATCGGAGAATGCCTTCTGAAAGCTAGGCAAACACATTGCACTTTCCTTTAATTGCTTTCTGGGATCGTGGAAATGATAAAGCAACATTGACCGCGCACTTATTCCCACAAGTATATTGCTGTTCCTTGTCGCAATTGCTGTGTTTGCAAACCATATACGACACAAGATATACTTGCTTTATTTTTGTATAAAAGGGGAAAAAACGCTTCTCTGCATCAACGATTATATTGAAGGACTAATTTCCTAGGAAAGTGACCTGGTTAATCGAGATGAATGTTAGTAAGTCAGTGACTGGCAAAAGTGCAACAGCTAAAATGGGTTTTTAGACTGCAACCTGTGGAAAAATACGACTACTTTATTCAGAAACACTGCCGCAAAATTTTAGTCAGGCCTTGATGGTAACTGCTCCAGGTAATGGGAAAATGTCACGAAGCTGGCCAGTGATGGATATCGCCTACCCGTTATTCAAATCAAGATAAGGTTTCATTCTTGGCATAAAGCGCGGTGCTTTTTTTGCGACATCGGAAGATTGATTTTGTCCGTTGTACTCCATTAGCCGTTATGGGAGGACGTTTCCGGTATTCAGTGTCTTAAAAGCTTAATAGAGTCAGTCGCCTTTTCTTTTAATTGATAGCATTAATAACCCTAATGTGACAACTCACTAATTGCCTTTTCGGATCAGTTTCTCGAGCGGATTTCGCATTTTGTAAGTTGAGCCAAGTCTCACGCGGGCATTCAAAGAATACAGTCGCCACTACCATGAACTAGCAAGCCTACTAATAAGAAAGATCATTAGAAACAATGCCATGCGTGTACTGGGAACGTTTACATGTGGGATAAATGCCACAAGTGGCGTTAATAAAGAGGACGCCTTATGCCTTTCAGAATTTGGGGAAGGCCAGAAAACGAGACTAGCACTTGATCCTTAAAACCCATTATTTTAATGGAGATACCTCTATTTCCAGACATGCCAATTCACCAATTACTCCAAATGTAGAGATATATCTATTTTCAAATAGAGAAAAAAAATGGAAATAAAGATATTGCTATTTCAAAAAGAGATATCTAATAGAAGTAGAGATTTATCTATTTTATGATGCCTCGATTAGATAAAGAGATATTTCTATTATCCAATAGAGATATATATCTATCAGAAATAGAGATATTGCTATCTCAAAATAGAAATCTCGATTGAAAATAGAGAAAGTTCTATTTTAAATACTCAATTAAAAATAGATATATCTCTAATATCAAATGGAAATACATGTATAGGCTATCTGTTAGAAATAGATGTATTTTTATTTAACACAATATCTCCATTAGAAAGATATTTGTATTTTAAAAAGAGATATCTCTATTAGAAATACAATGCAGGTACGGATGTCTCTGTTTAAAGTTTCAATGTTAACTTTGCACGCAATCAAATGAGTGCCCAAGTCTCCCCTGCCCAATTACGCTACTTGACGTCGCTGTGTGGATTTTCATCGGGCACACTGGCAGCATTGTCCAACTCACATCAAAGTCTCCAGATTCACTTATGGGGTTTTGTAGTATAATGATACACGGTAGTCCGTGACCAAAAGGCCCTTGACATTCACCGCTGAACGTAAGGTCGCGAGACTTAACGCTCTGTTGAACAACTAGGAATCAGTTATTGTGTTGCCCTGGTTTACCGGTTGCCTTTATAGCAAAGATAACATCAAATTCCGTCCGGACCCAGCATATTATCAATCTTTTTTTTGGCCTTGGCGGCTAAAAGCCTATTCAAGTATCAAAGTGGCCTTCGTATTCTTCGTCGACAAGAAATGCACTTAAGTTTAATCGTCGTCAACACTCTGCGGTACCATTCTAATTTCAATATGTTCTATGATATAATATGCCACGGCCATTGAAAAGATATATACGCGCTACAACTTACTTCTAGTAAAATAAACCAGCAAAACATTTAAAAAGTAAATTTGAAACCTATAAAAGAATACACTCTAAAAACTTTTTAGCAATTAAACACTATCTTGCTATAACTTTGTAAACATGCTTAGATGATATGTGTCCAACTCCTAAACATCAATGTTTAATAGCTAAACACTATCCATCCTTACTCTAAACATATTTAGTATTTAAACATGTTTACAAACTAATAGCAAAAAAGTGTTTAGAAAAGTGTTTAATTGCTAAACAAAGTTTTTGCAGTGTAAATTGTTTTAAAAAATGCATGTGCCAAACATGTTTGTCCACGGACAGCTTTATTCCATCCGCTTGACTTAGACTTACACGTCAACAATAGTGATTTTGGTGGCTTGTATTCAATTAGCATAATATCACTATTGCGAATTTTTAAAGAGTTTTTTCACCACGTATTGCTAAAGAGCTATACTTCACTAAAAAAAAAAACCAGTTCAAGTAAGTTAAGTAAGTAGGTTAAAATTCCTGTCAAAAGTGGGTTTCCTTCTTTTCGCACCACCGTGTATTTGGAACTGTAAAGTCACCTGAAGTGATTCTCCTTTCAAGTTTTCCTTCAAGATTAAAAGCGATACAAATGCCTTGTCACGCTCGATACCCCCTCAAGGCCTAGAATGATCGACAGCCGCCTAATAAACCAAATTGACTTTGCTTTAAAAAAAAAAGTGTTCCTTTTGTTGACTTT